GGGGATTTAGCTCAGTGGTTCCGCCGCCTTCTCGAAAGCACAAGGTCCAGAGTTCGATCCCCGGTATCAAAAAAAAAAAAAAAGAATTAAGTTTCTAGAAACAGTATAACTCATCTCGTGTTTGAAGACCCTGTTGAGAAACTTTTACCTCCTCATTTCTTTTCTAAATTATCTTTTTCATTTCTAAATTGTCATTTCTTTATGGATCAGGAACAAAATTGCCTGTTCACTCCCACTGAAGAGTGAAAAGTAGAAGTGACCTTAATTCTTTGTGGAATCGTAGGTCTGTAACAGATTACAGAATCATCTACACCTAGTTGTTTTTAAAAGTTAGAGCCATATATTCTCCCATAAAAATATATTTGATGTATAGACTTGTAGTATGTTCCTATGCGTGCTTTTCTTTTTTATAATTAAATTTTAGTCTACATTTTTCCTTGCAATTTGTTTCTATTACTTTATATTGCAATTTGCTTCTATTAATATATATGTGTATATATATATATAGTCTCCCTATGTAGCTCAGGCTGGTGTAGAACTCACTGTGTAGCTCAGGCTGCCCTCAACTGGCAACCATCCTCCTGCCTCAGCCTCCTAACTGCTGGGATTACCAGCATGTGCCGCCATGCCTGGCTTACAATATGAATAATTTTTATGCTAATATGTATTGTACAAAATCATTCTAGTGTGTAATGTTTGTTGTTGGGTTTTTTTGTTGTGTTTTTTTTTTGGTACAGGGGATCAAATTCAGGATCTTGTGCTTGCAAGGCAGGCAGCAGACGTTGGCACCACTGAGCTAAATCCCCGGCCCTGAAATCATTTTAAATGTTGGCTTAGTGTAACCCATTGTATAGATATACCATAATTTATTATTAGACATTAGGTGTTTCAGTATGTCAATACTGTATGATAAAAAGAACTAGTCCCAGGTGTGGTGGCATCCCTGTAGTCCCAGCACTTGGGAGGCTGAGGCAGGAGTATCGACCCAAGTTCCAGCCAGGACTACATAGTGAGTTCAAGGCCAGCCTGAGCTACATAGCGAGACCCTGTCTCAAAAATACCTGCTTTGCAAGCGCAAGGTCCTGAGTTTGATCCCTGGCACCGGAAAAAAAAAAATACCAAAAATAAATAGAACTAGGGATTTTTTTTGTATTATTATCTTGGAATAGAGTATCTAAAATGCAATTAAGTTAAAATATGCAAAATTTTAATGCTTTTGATATGGACAAATTGCCTTCCGGAAAGATTATATGAATTTACACTGTTTTTTCCTAGTTCTAAGACTGCCCAGTACAATGACTCAGGCTGAGATTAAACTGTGTTCTTTGATGCTACAAGAGCATTTTGGAGAGATTGTAGAAAAAATTGGAGTGCACCTAATCAGAACTGGCAGCCAGCCACTGAGAGTAATTGTCCATGACACAGGAACATCTCTGGATCAGGTATGATTAGATAACATCAGTTTGTTCTCTTTAATTTCTTTCATTAATTTTTCTCACCTACCTTTGAATATTGTTACTAGAAAGAAATAAAGAAGGGCCAGAGATTTAGCTCAGTGGCGCCATGCCTGCCTCACAAGCACAAGTCCTGAGTTCAATCCCTGCTACCAAAGAAAAAAAAAAAAAAGATTGCCCTTTGAACAGTGTTACTGGTGTGATAAAAGACACTAGTTAGGCCCTGAGGTTTTGCTTTTCAAGTGGCCCTATTTCATCTTTTTTGAGACAGTCACTATATCAGGCTGGCCTTGCACTCATGGCAATCCTGCCTCAACTTCCAGAGGGCTGGGATTACAGGCATGCACCACCATACCAGCCCATCATAGCTTCTTAAGTAAATTTTTGTGCTTCCTGTGCCACACTTCATTTATTCACAATAAGTCTACTAATCTCAGTACCACCTTTAAGTAATGAGTGACAGAAGGAAAGTAAATTGTGATGTGAAAATAAAGATCAGAGGAAATAGGAACATCATTGCAAGGAATAGTCCTGATTTCTTCCATTGATGTTTGATTCCTATTAGTTACTCTAACAGAGAGAAGAAGAACAGAAATTCTTATCTGGCCATCCCTTGATGCTTAGTAAGCCATTGGACAAAAAATTGCCAGCAATAATAAAATATATCTTTAGGGCTTTCCTCTCTTTCTTTTGGGTCTTATCTAGGTAAAAAAAGCACTTTGTGTCCTCATCCAACATAACCTGGTGATATATCAAGTGCATAAACGTGGCGTGGTTGAGTATGAAGCCCATTGCAGCCGGGTATTACGAATGCTTAGGTATCCCCGCTACATCTATACTACCAAAGCACTTTATGGTGACACTGGAGAGCTGATTGTTGAGGAGCTGCTGTTGAATGGCAAAATGACAATGTCAGCTGTCGTGAAGAAAGTGGCAGACCGACTCACAGAGACCGTGGAGGGTCAGTACTATATCTACAGCTGTTAGCAAAAGCATAGATTGGCTGGCTACAGGACTGGACTTTGCTCTTCTAGGCCATCTCACCTGCTATTTCCTCCTGTTGTGCAGATGGCAAAACCATGGATTATGCTGAGGTATCAAACACTTTTATGCAACTGGCAGATACACGATTTGTACAGCGTTGCCCCATGGTGCATGCCCCTGAGAATTCAGACACTCAGCCTCCACCGCCTGCCCCTAACCTTGTCATTAATGAAAAGGACATGTACCTGGTTCCTAAACTGAGCTTGATAGGTAAGAGATTTTGACCCTAGAATTGTAACTTGCTCTAATTGTGGATATTTCTTCATTGATTATTAAATGAATGAATCAGTTGACCATTTACCAAGTATTTGCTAGATGCCAGACATCATAGTCTACCATAATGAAAAAACCGGGACTGGGGATTTAGCTCAATGGTTCTGCTGCCTGCCTCACAAGCGCAAGGTCCCAAGTTCGATCCCCGGTACCAAAAAAAAAAACACACATAATGAAAAAACCATGATCCTGCCTTTTTGAGCCGGAAGTCTTTAAGTATCAGAGATACATTACATTTAATCAGTCACATAGATACACTGTCTAACAAACTGTGATGAGTACCATGAAGGAGAGGTATGAGGTGGGGGTTACAAAAAATAGAATGAGAGCCATGGATGTAGCTCAGTGGCACCATGCCTGCTTGGCAAGTGCATGGTACTGAGTTCAATTCCCGGTACCAAAAAAAAAAAGGGACTCAGTTTATGTAGAGGGTTGTTATATAGAGAATTATGTACATCTTTTTTTTGAGAAAGTAGCAGTTGAACTAAAATTTGAAACAAAAATAGAAGCTAACTAATGAGGTAATAAGAATAAGCATTTCTGGCAGAAGGAATAGTATGCTGTAAAGGGAAAAAACTGAACATTCAAGGAAAGGAAAAGTCCGCATGGACAAAAGCAAGGTGAGCAAACGGGAGAAAACAAGGCTAGTGAGACAGGCAGGGGCTAGATCACACAAGACCTTACAAAGCATCTGTTCTTTAAGAGCAAAGGAAGACTGCTGAAAGATTACAAGCTTTGGGGCCGGGGTTTTAGCTCAGTGGTTCCGCCTCCTGCCTTGAAAGCACAAGGTCCAGAGTTCGATCCCCAGTACCAAAAAAAAAAATAAAGATTACCAGCTTGGCGCCAGGTGAGGTGACACATACCTGTAATCTCAGCATTCAGGAAACTGGCAGGAGGATTGCCACAAGTTCAAGGTCAGCCTGGGCTACATAGTATGTGTTCAAGGCCAGCCTGAACTATATAGTGAGACCTTGTCTCTTTGAAAATGAAAAAAAGATTCTAAGTGGACCGGGAATTTAGCTCAATGGTTCTGGCGCTGGCCTCACAAGCGCAAGGTCCCAAGTTCAATCCTCAGTACCAAAAAAAAGATTTTAAGCTTGGAAGTAACATGATCTGGTTTACTTTTTTTTTTGAGACAGGGTTTTACTAAGTTGCCCAGGCTGGACTTGAACTTGTGATCCTCCTGCCTCAGCATCCCAAAGTGCTGGGTTTACAGACACATGCCATGACTCCTGGCTTAATTTACATTTTTAAAGGATTTTTTCTTCTTTCCGGGATGGTACAAAGGTAAATGTTTATATAGATGGATGAAAACTTAGATACAAAGTGCTAAGAGTCAGAGTTATCGAGAATGACGTCTATATATCTGGCCTGCACATGTCAAAGGATGATGGTGCACTCACTAAAAGAAGCCTTTGTAGGAGGACCAGTTTGAGGAAAAAAAAGATGAATTTCTGTTTGAACATACTGAATTTCAGATGACATCATCATTGACTGAACCGTCTTGTAGCTCATCAGCCTCCTAAACAATTCTGAATTATAGGTAGCTACGTAGATCTTCGGGGTGAAGAGACACTTGCTCTCAGGTCTGGTAATTTCCTATCATCGTAGGATTTCTAGCTGAACTGTTGGCTTATTTTATTTGGCAGGGAAAGGTAAAAGGAGAAGATCATCTGACGAAGATGCTGCTGGTGAGCCTGCGGCCAAGAGACCAAAACACCCCACAGATAACAAAGAGGTACTGGGGCTTCTTGATTAGGAATCCTCACCCTGTAGCAGGCCAGAAAGAGCACTCAGATAACAAGTGCCAAGAGAACTCAAAGGTTCCTGAGCTACGAAAATGAAGGATTATAAACTTCATTAAAAATTGTCCAGGTGGGCCGGGGATTTAGCGCAGTGGTTCTGCCGCCTGCCGTGCAAGCGCAAGGACCCAAGTTCATCACCCGTACCCAAAAAAAAAAAAAAAAAATTGTCCAGGAGTAGACCAGCAGGGATTGGACTCCATAGCTGTCTCCCTTCTCAGGGTTAACTTATTTTAAGCATTGAACAGAGGTAGCAGATTATGCAAAAAGAAGGCCTAGAAAAGTTTAAATTGTTCCAGTATGGCTGGAATATATAGACCCTTGGGGACCAGTAATGAGAACTGAGTCTAGAAAGATACATGTAGGCCTGAACTCCTATATTCCAGTGCCTTCTTGACACCCCTATAAAGACGTCTAGTAAGCATATAATATCAAAGTTAGAATGGCCAAAACGGAAGGACTCCTGCCTTCTAATTATCTGGTTTCTACCACGTAGGACACCATCACTTGCTTAGACCAAAATCCTTAAAACTCTCCAATCTCACAGTAATACCTGCCAGCCTAATTTATCTCCGGTCCAACCATTTCTCACCTTTTCCACTTCTATCTCCCTAGTTAAAAACACTATCATCTCATCAACCAACACCAGTACTCCTTAATCATCTCTCATCTTAGCCACTTCGCAGCCAAGATCACATTCTAGTTGTTTAAAAAAATATCATTTGGGCAGAGAAAGTAGTTCAGTGGAGTGGTAGAATACTTCTTAGCATGTATGAGACCCTGGGTCTGATCTCCCAACTGCAAAAAAAATCTTTAATTAGATTTCCTTAATAGCTTCCTGTTATTCTTAGAAGAAATTCAAGCTATGGACCATTAAGCTTACATGATCTAGGTCAGGGATGAACCTTTTAGAGACAAGTCCCCACTGCAACCCCAAACCCACTTATTTATCACGAACTGCCAACACTGCAGTTAAACTTGAACACTGAGCTTTTAGTTTAGAAAAAATGACTCATACATTAACATCTCTTGTCTTAAAAGAAAAACACAATGACACACGTGCCTTAGGTTTACCACCACTAATCTAGGTTGTTACATGATCTGCTGAAATAATCCAACTCTTCCCATTTTCCCTCTTGCTCACTATGTTCTATCTACTGTCTTTCTGTGCCTGAAACATGTCAGGATCTTGCCTTTACTATGCCTTCTTCTTTAAATGCTTTTCCAATATCTTCACGTAGTAGCCACTTTGATCATTCACCTATATTAATGCTAAATGCTATTTTCTTAGAGCTCAAACACAATTGCCCACCTACTTGAGTCCCTACACATTTCCCTATTTCATCTTCACAGCATGCATATTCATAGCTGAAATTATGTATTTTTGTATGTTTGTCTTTGTGCTGTCAGTTAAATATAAATTTGAGTGCCACATCCTATCTTTCCACCTGGAAACTAGCAGGATCTCAGCAAATATTTTCTTTTTTCTTTTTCTTTCTTTTCTGTTGTGTTTGTTTGTTTGTTTTCTTTTTATCCCAAGCTGGCCTCAAACTCACAATTCTCCTGAGTACAGGGATTAAGGGTGTACATCACAACGGCTAGCTTCAGCAAATATTTCTCAATTGACTAAGCGGTTTGGATTTCATCCTGGAGGTAGTGGGGAACTGTTGACTGACTTTAAGCAGGAGAATGAAGTGACTAGATTTATATTTTAGAAAGATTACTGTAGCCTAGCAGTTTGTAATGTGTACAGCTCTGCGGATGGATGCAGAGTCCATTTGTACTTGTGTTCATGTACTTTGTACAGTGGAGCACTCCTTAGCTCTCTTCAGATTCTATCACTGTGACCCAAAAAGATAAAAAAGCACTACTCTACGAGAAATGGGGAGAATGATGCAAAAGCAACAAGATTAGATTCAGAAAATACAGACATTCCTTTTATAGTATCTGTGGTTGCAAGCCTGTTGTTGTACTTAAGCCATGATTAAAGCCTAAAACAATAATAGGATAAGGGAAAGCATAGCTGGGTGTAATTGTACACACCTGTGATCCCATCACTTGGGAGCATTGTGAGATTGAGGCCAGCCTAGACTATATAGTGAGACTGTCTCAAAAACAAAAAAAAATGCAGACATCTCTGAGGTGACAGATAATGCCAGTTACCTTGATCTGATCATTACACACCTTATACATGTATTGAAATATCACACTGTATCCACAAATATATATAGCTAGCTGTCAACTTTTTTAAAAATCTGACTGGGCATGATGGTGCATACCTATAATCCAGGGTACTCAGGAGAATGAAACCGGAGAATTATAAATTTAAGACCATCTGGTCAACTTAGTGAGACCCTGTCTCAAAGAAAAAAGTCTGAGGATGTAGCTTAGTGGTAGAGCCCTTGCCTGCCGTGAATGAAAGCCCCATACTGCCAGGAAAAAAAAGGGGGTAACGCCAAAAAAATGTGGTGTCATAAAGTCCAAGCTGACATTATGTCAGAAATATCCAACTGTGTGATATGCTTCAAAAAAATCAAATAAGATCAGAACTGGAAAGTATTCTTCGTTCTTTGACTTTAGCAATAAGGAGGTCCCTAAGGACGGTAGTATTTCACTGGAAGGACAGTGAATTGACATTTCAGTACAGTGGTGAAAGTGGGTTGAAACAATCTCTATGAAGTAACTGTGAGGAAGCCCATCTCTCAGAAGTTTTGCTCTGACAGGAAGATGAGGGAGGCATAGGGTTAAAGGAGAATTCTTCTAGAATAAAAGAGACTTCAACAAGAAAAGAAAGCCTGATGAGAAGGAAAAACTGAAGATTTGGAGGACAGGAAGGGACACTGAGCAGGATCTCTGAGAATGAAAAGGCAAGATCTAGAATAACAGTGTGGCTACTGACCTTAGGTAAAAGGAGGAACATTTTTCCACAATTCAAAAAGTGAGTAAAAATACAAATTGAGATAGAATATATGTGTGCACAAAGTTAAATGAACTCGAGCCTAATGAGTTCTGGCCTAATCACTTCTATTTTCTCTGTGAAATCAGGCAAGGTCATCTTCTGTGAGTAAAAAGGGAGTAGTCAAGTAGGAGACTTGAGGGTAATTAATGGAGAACAGTTAAAATAGAGAAAGATCAGAGGTGACTTTACAGAACCTGTTTGAAATTGGAATTTATCAAGATACTAATCTATATGATTGAATGATTTTTTTTCCCCAACCAATTTAGTTGCTAGTGTATAAGAAAAGAAATGGTGAACAGTTAAATCCAAGCTCCTCACCAGAAAACCCTGCACTGTATTTCAGCGTTTCTCTCGGATACTTTTCTCTTCCTCAGCCCATTCCAGATGATGGGATTTATTGGCAGGCCAACCTTGACAGATTCCACCAACACTTCCGTGACCAAACCATTGTGAGCGCAGTTGCGAACAGGATGGACCAGGTAGTATTTCAGTGGGTTTGTCAGTGATCATCAGGAAATGACATTCAGTTTGTTGCCAGTGTGGTTATTGGCCATTGACTAGAGCTGAAGATAGTCCGGTGAATTCTGAATTCCTGTTTACTCTTCAACCCCAGACGAGCAGCGAGATCGTGCGGGCCATGCTTCGGATGAGTGAGGTTACTACTTCCTCTGATGCCCCCTTCACCCAGCCATTATCTTCCAATGAGGTGAGTTTCATGTTCGTATACGAGCTTTCTGACACATTCTCAGGTATTACAACAATTTTTATACATAAAGCTTGGGTTAAGTTGAGGCCTAAGCCTTGAGAGAAAGGAGTTTTGTTGTTTACGGTGGGGCAAGCATTACCTTCAAGTGGTTAGACTGAAATACTTGGTCTCTTGGGATCCAGCTTGTAAAAGCCTGCACCATTAGCCAGATGCACAGGTACAAACCTAGGATCCCAGCACTCTGGGAATGTGAGGCAGGAGGATTGCAGGTTCAAACCCAGCCTGAGCAATTTAGCAAGAACTTGTCTCAAAAATAAAAAAGTTCAATCCCTGGTACCAAACAAATAAAAATAAAAAAGGTCTGAGAATGTATCTCAGTGCAGAGGATCTGGGTTCAATCCACAGTACCACCAAAAACAAAATGTGTGTGTGTGTGTGTGTGTGTGTGTGTGTACACATATATATACATATAGCTATATTGTTTTTAACTTTGTAACAAAGATAAATACAAATTTTTTCTGGTGACAAAAGTAACTATATGATCTATATTGAAATAGCAATGAAATGTGTCATTTTCAATAACAGTTCCTGAAAGAATACTTGCTGGAGTGATAGAAATGTTCTGTATCTTCTTGTAGCTGTTAGATACACAGATCTATACAATTGTCATTACTCATCAGACTGAACCCTTAAGATCTGTGCTTTTTATTGTTTGTAACATACCTTAATTTAAAATATACATAGTTTTGCATAATCCTAGTCCTAGAGATCCTTGTCAGTAGACTGGTGTATATATATATATATATATATATATATTTTTTTTTCTTTTTGGTACCGGGAATCGAACTCAGGACCTTGTACTTGCAAGGCAGGCACAGTGCCACTGAGCTAAATCCCCAGTCCAGTTTTTTTTTGTTTTTGTTTTTAGATTGGTATCTATCTTTATTCAGACCTTTTTTATATGTGGTCTAACATGGGTATATGTATTTTTTAACTCAAAAATGAGACTGTACTCTATATGCTATTCTATAACTTAGTTTTCACTTTCGTTTTGAGGTGCTGGGAATCAAACTCACGACCTTGCACATGCCAGGCAAGCACTCTATTACTGAGCTACATCCCCAGCCCTACAACTTCTTTTTAAATAACAATATAAAACTTCTTTTCATGTCAGTACTCACACATTTTTCATTCTTTATCATATTTCACTTAATGGCCAGGCTGTAGTTTAATTAACTCCTTATCACTGGTCATTTAGATTGTTTCTTGTTTTTTATCTTTAAAAACAATGCCAGTGTAAGTACTTTTGGACATTTTTCCACTTACAATATCTAAAATTAAAATGTCTTACTGTGCATGGTGGTATACACCTGAAATCCCAGCTACGTGGGAGGTGGAGTCAGGAGGATTACAAGTTCAAAGCCAGTCAGGGCAACTTAGACCCTGTTTCAAAAAAAAAAAAACTGGGGATGTTAGCTGTAGCTCAGTAACAGAGTACTTGCCTACCACGTGTGAGACTCAGTTCAATCCCTATTGCTACAAAAAAAAAATGTATTTTAATAATATCAGCAATTCTAAATTCTGAAGACCATTTTCTACGTCTGCTTTTGCATCACAGATCTTCAGATCCCTACCTGTTGGCTATAACATCTCCAAGCAAGTGCTTGACCAGTATCTCACTCTGCTTGCAGATGACCCAGTAAGTCTGTTGTGCTCTGTTTTTTTTTTCCCTGCCCTTTTACAATTTACTTCTGCCTCATGTCAGTCTCCTATGGCCTCATTCTCTACCAAGTCAATTCATACAGTTTCCCTGCCATCCTCTGATAGGAAGGTTACCTGCTGCAGACTCTTGGCCAGATTTGCTCCATTGGAAACAGAATCACTGGACTTTTCATTCAGTTAACGCACTCTGTCTTTCTTTTTAATAGCTAGAGTTTGTTGGAAAGTCTGGCGACAGTGGTGGAGGAATGTATGTCATCAGTATCCTTTCCAGTTATCCTTACAGTCAGGCAGCCTGAGCCATGAAGCAGAATGCTGTCTTCTGAAATAAAGATTTGGTAATAGTATACTAAATCAGAATACTGAAGAAATTTCCTATTAATGTTTCTATAAATTTTCAATAAATTACATTAATGATAATCAACCAGAAACACCCTTCCTTAATCACCCTCGTTAATTAAAATTTTAAGATATTTATATACCATAAATTAATTTGAAAAATGAAATAACATTTAAATTTTAATGAGAAATTAGGAATTTAAGAATAAAACTGAGGGGCCAGGGATGTAGCTCAGTGGCACTGCGCCTGCCTCAAGCAGAAGGTCTTGAGTTTGATCCCTGGTACCAAAAAAAAAAAAAGAAATAAAACTGAGGTCAGAGTGATCAGGCCAAAAAGTTCCTAACTGACCTTAATCCTCTACATAAAGATTTCTGTAAGGCATTAGCATCCCTAGCCACAGCCACTCTGGAGTCTGTCATACAGGAGAGGTAAGGGGGTCAGTCATTGGGATTGGGATTGGGGTCAGACACTTCCTATCCATACCCCATTTGATCTTTATGTAAGCAACCATTGTAGGCACATTTTGCCCCATTTTCCACTGGACAGCTATGAATACCATCTACTACTACTCTTCACTCTAAAAAATCCTACTGCTCAATTCCCAGTGATACAAACTATCGAGCCACCCTACAACCTTGTACTGTAAGAACTATGGCACTCAAGTGAGTCAGCAGTTAATGAGTGCCTTATGGCTGATAGTACTGTCACCGGCTTGGGGGTTGTGAGAGCTCTCTGGTTGCTGTTCCTTTCTGATCCTGGCTCCATACGTGGACTAGGACAACCTTCATCTGGGACTAAGAGCCGAAGCTCATCTTCTGTGTTGGCATACCATTTCGTGTTTCCATTTCTTTCCAGATTTGGATCTCGCTGTGCCAGAATATTCCGTCTGGTTTTGCAAAAGAAACACCTAGAACAGAAGCAAGTGGAGGACTTTGCAATGATTCCTGCAAAGGAGGCAAAGGATATGCTATATAAGATGCTCTCAGAAAATTTCATATCACTCCAGGTAACCAGTGGTGTATAACTGCCAACCAGCAAAACTGGTGAGAGACACTCCTGAGCAGACATCCTGAGTCCTCAGGCAACCTCTGTGTAGTGGTGAGATGGAAAGAATTATTAACGGAGACATAGCAAGCACTTGAAGGAAAATGTGGAGCTTAAACTGGCCCAGTAAAAAAATAGAAGCAGCCAAGTAATTGCCTTAAAGCCATCCTGCCTCTTCTTCCCTGAAATCCTGTCCTTTCCTCAGATTTTAAAACCTGTAATAGATTACATCTGTCAATAGCTTCTGCTGGGTCCTTGCAGCACCATGTGGTAGACCCTGTAAGGAAGTAATAGAATGGATTATGGAGTCAGCTCATAGTCTTCCTCTTACCTAGTTACATTGAGCAGGTCACCTACCATTGTTTGCCCCATGTATACAATGGTGATAGCTGGCGGTAATAATAATATACCATTGGCTGGGGATTTAGCTCAGTGGTGTCACCGCCTTCCTTGCAAGCTCAAGGTCCCGAGTTCAATCCTCAGTACCAAAAAGTCATAATAATAATAATATACTATAGTTTATTTTAAAGATCAAATACAATGCACCTGTCACATAAGAGTTTTCTCATTAAATATTAGTTGCCTTCCCATTCTTTCCCACTTGGGATGCTAATGGAAATTGGGGTGGGGGGGAGTCAAATGGGAAAAAAAAGAGCAGCCCAGTCTTTATGTAGCTAATTATGCCTTAAATCCAGCTACCAAATGACTAGAGAAGAGGAAAGTATCAGTGAAAGAGAAGGCTGAGTAGCTCTGAATGTGACAGGTTTATTTTGCCAATTCTGAAGAGCAGTGAAATTTCTCGTATTTTTCTTTGTATGGAAAAATAGGAAATTCCAAAAACACCGGACCATGCCCCTTCCAGGACCTTCTATTTATACACTGTGAATGTCCTGTCCGCTGCGCGAATGTTGTTGCACAGGTGCTACAAGGTGAGCCCACAGAGACCTCGCCATCTCCTTCACACACAAAGCTCTCTCCCATTGGCCTCCTTTACCCGTTTTACCTGAGCTGCTGAAATACAACTGTGCATTTCTAGTCTTTTTTCTCTTTCCTCAGAGTGTGACCAACTTGATAGAAAGGCGGCAGTTTGAAACCAAAGAGAACAAGTGAGTAGTGTTTTCATTTGAATCATTCAGATATTTCATGGTCAAAGGCCTGAGGGGAAATTTTCTATAGAAATGTAGACAGTATCCTAATAACCAGTCTAGTTCCCTTGAGTCATCGGCTTCAGTTGGCCTAAATCATGCATTAATCTACACTTTTCCAGTATACCCTGAAGAAAATAATTTTGTGGATTAAATTTATGAGAAAAGTACAAACCCTCCAAATTCAGAAATTGTTATATTCCCAGTTAAATTTATAGAAATGTCCTTAGACAATGATACTATCCTCCTTGACCAAAAATATGGTAATTTGGGAGTTGTGTCTCAGATAAAGGGTAAGAGGATCTTCACATTGGGGAGCATGCCTCAGAGTTGTGTCTGTCTCATAGGCGTCTGCTCGAAAAGTCTCAGAGGGTAGAAGCCATCATTGCATCTGTGCAAGCCACAGGTGCAGAGGAAGCACAGCTGCAAGAAATAGAGGAGATGATCACAGCCCCTGAGCGTCAGCAGCTGGAGACCCTGAAGCGCAATGTCAACAAGTAAGCTTATCGCCTCTCGGCCTTTTGGCTAAGATCAAGTGTAACAAGTAAGCTTAACTTCAGACCTGTATTTCAACATGCCTTCCAGACAGGTCCATCCCAACATTCTGCAACCCCTCCAACTAACACAAATGAACCTGAGCTCACTGTCTTCTTTCCCAGCTCGGTTAATGAATTTAATCCACCTACTTTTCTGAACCAGCAATTCTGAAGACATCCTCAGCTGCTTCTCTGCAGTGTTACTCTGTTCTCACCAAGCATTCTAAATCTTACTTCAGTAATGTGTCTCACATCTGGCTTTCATCTTGGCCCCCATGCAGGCTTTCAGCTTGTCTCTCCTAGGCTTTCACGTTGACCCCCCAAATCATCTCAGAGTGCTTTCAAAAGTATGATCTTTAAAATGATTGATAACATCACTCTCCTACTTCAGGTGATTTAATTCTTTACATGTACAGTGTAAAGGCCAGACTCACCGGCATGACTGACGAGCCTTCACAGTTTCCTAGCAGCCTGGCTCCATCTTCCTTTCCTTCCATTCCTCACCACTTACCTTAATAGGGATCGCATTGAATCTGTAGATTGCTTTGGGGAGTACTGCCAACTTAACAGTATTAAATCTTCCAACCTGTGAATACAAGAGGTCTTTCCATTCACTTAGGTCTTTAATTTCTTTTAACAATATTTTAGTGTTTTTCTTCTACTAGTCTTGCAACTTTTTTGTTAAATTTATTTTTTTTTACTCTAGTGTTTTCTTACATCATTTTTGGGTCATTCATTGCTAGTGTATCAAAAAACAGATTTTCGTATTTTGATTTTATATCCTGCAACTTTGCTAATTTGTTTTTTCTAGTTAGTTGGAGGATTCTTTGTGATTCTTCATATATATATGAATGATTGTGTGGTCTTTGAACAGAGAAAGCTTTACAACTTCCTTTGCAATCTAGATGCGTTTTCTTGCCTAATTGCCTTAGATACAACCTCCAGTATAAGGTTGAGTGGAAATGCTAGAGCAGACAACGCTGTCTCACAAAAGTTCTCAGTCTTTCACCATTAAGTATGGTATTAGCTGTGGTCTCTTCTCTTACCATGTTGAAGAAGTTCTCTTCTCTTCCTGATGACTACTGACTTTAAGCTTTGGTCACCCTCAGCTTCTCACAGTTTTAAAACACACCTTTTTTTTTTTTTTTGGTACTGGTGATCAAACTCAGGACCTTGGGCTTGCAAGGCAGGCACGGTGCCACAGAGCTAAATCCCCAGCCCGTAAAACACACCTTTTACCTATGTCTTTACATGCGCTGTCCTTCCTCCTGGTTGCAAGTTATACTGTAACCTCCCCCAGGACAGAGGCTCTATCTTCTGCACCCTCAGCAGCTTCCACAGTGAAATGCTTTCATCTTTTCAGGTTGGATGCCAGTGAGATCCAGGTAGACGAAACCATCTTCCTGCTGGAGTCATACATTGAGAGCACCATGAAGAGACAATGACCCAGAAGAAGCATCTTTCTCAGAAGACCTGGGGGGATGGAAAGAGAAACAAAGGAGGTGCCTGGATACATTCTCTTCAGTAGAAGTTGCAGGCTCTTGTTCTGAAATCCTCTCTCTGTCCCTACTGCTCAGTATCCAGTTGAGAGAGTTTGAAACTGGGCCTGGTGGTGACTGCCTATAATCCCAGCACTCTGGAAGGCTGTAGCAGGAAGATCGTGGGGAACTTAGTGACCTAGTAAGACCTTCTTGCAAATTAAAAGATAAAACGGATAAAAAAGTTGAGTATGGAACAGCCAGGGATGTAGCTCAGTGGCACTGCACCTGCCTGCCAAGTGCAAGGTCCTGAGTTCGATCCCCAGTACTGAGGGAAAAAAAGTTGCGGATGGAAGGAGTTAAAAGCATCATACAACAGCAATATATGCATACCTGTGTTTATAGCAGCACAGCTTACAACAGCTTAATCTTCAAAACAGCCCAAATGCCCATCAGCTGATGAATGGATAAAAAAGATGTGTTTTTTTATACAATGGAATACTGTGCCATAAAGGATTAACTTGAACCTGAGACATTTCTAGCTAAATGGATGCACCTTGAGACTATACTCTCAAGTGACATAAATTGGACATATATATTTAAATGCTGCATTGTTTCTCTGGTGTGAGAAATTGAAAGTGTAATTGAGGACTAAAATGTATAATAGATGTTGGGAAACGGGAAAAAATGTGCAAATGGGAAGGGGAACAGGAGGAAAGGAAAAAAAGAATAGAAGGAAAAATGAAAACAAAGCTTTTGTAAATGAGGGGAAGAGGTTGAAGGGAGGGGGAAAGAACAGGAAAAAAAGAAGCAAGATATATCATGTATAGGTACAGATTCCCTATGATGAATGTTATACTGTGTATATCTAAAATGTACCAATAAATGTTTTGCTTCAAAAAAAAATTAATGAAATTATAACGCTACAAGCTTAAAAAAACCTGGGGATGTAGGTCAGGGTAAAAGCCTTGGGTTCAATCTCCAGTACCACCAAAACAAGAAAGAAAAAAAATTGACTTTTTTTTTTCCTTTTTGTGAGCAGTACTTGGGATTTACTGTGCTCTACCACTAAGCTATATCCACAGCCTTTTTTTTTTTTTTTTGAGATAAAGCTCACTATCTGTATGTACTCCAGGCTGGCCTTGAACTTACTACTTGAGAGTAGCCCAGGCTGCTCTCAAAAACTCCATCCTCCTGCCTCAGCCTCCCTAGTGCTGAGATTACAGGTCTGTACCGTTATGGCCAGCTCTTTTTATTTATTTATTTATTTTATCTTGCTAAATTGCTCATGCTGGCCTCAAACTTGGAGTCCTCTTGCCTCAGCGTCACAAGTAGCTGAGATTGAGTTTAACATTTCTTTTTAAAGTTTGTTGATGCTTGCTTAGGCCTAACCCTATAGAGAATTCTTCCTCCATCAAATCGTGGCAATGGGAAGAACCTTAAATCAATGAGATTAATCATCTATCAGAGCCATCTGTTCTCATCAGGAAGCCAGCCTTTGTTGAACATCCCGCACAGTAGGAAACTTGTTCTTGAGCAGTCAGTTCCATTTTCAAAAGTCTATGCCTGTTGTTTATTTTGCTGAGCTATGGTGTCTTAACACACGTGCACACCATGCGAGGAATGTAAAAGACCACCATGAGGGGGAAGAAAACCGATTTTCAGGAATAGGAGGTGGATTGCCTCAGCAGTCATACTAGAATCTGGATAGAAGACACAGTTGCCATCTCTAGGCTTCTAGCACGTGTGAAATCATGTATGTAGAACATTTAACACAATAAATTACTGATTTCCTCATCTCCACTACCACCTTAGAAATGGCAACTCCAAATTTTCTCTCAGTGTCATAGATATGATTTTTCCCAGCAAGTTCAGTTCATTAAAGCAGGTGTTGCTCATAATCCTTGTTTTACCAAATTTGTTATAATTCTTTAAACACTTGAGTGTCATTTGCCACTGTACTAAAAAGAATATACAAAATAAGTGAGAGACTATCACTGACTTAGGGCCTTTTTTGTACCAAGTCCTGGGCCAGGCCTTAGTGACAGACAAGTGTGCCTGACCATACAGCCTAGAGAAAGAACGGCAGTACAAGGAAGTATCACACAGCTGCAGTGGAAGAGTAAGCACTAGGCACAGAGAGGCAAGAAAGAAAAAAGGGTCAGGAGAAGGGAGTAGAAGTGACCCTCTGAGCTGTTCGTGGTGGCTCCGGCCTCTAATACCAGCACTCCAGATGCTAAGGCAGGAGGATCACAAGTTCAAGGCCAGCTTGGACTACTAATTGAGACCCTGTCTGAAAAATAACAATCTGTAATTTGAAAAATGCAGATTTTTGAGGGGAAAGGGGGAAAGAATCCCAGAGGGGAGCATCCTGATTCTTGGGACAACTACAAATAGTGTTCAACTAAAAAACACAGTAAAGGTCCTTCCAGAATTGAGGCTAGAGAAACGGACAGGAGCAAGGCCCCTATTCTGAGAGCAATGAGGAGCACTAGGTCAGGCAGAATCTGCAAAAGCAGATTTGTAAGTCTGGCAGCGCTTCCCTGATTACCAGGGGCAGGGCTATCGAGACTTACAAACATGAGACAGGCTTGAACTAGGGCAATGGAGACTGAGATCAAGCAGGATTTGAGAAAGTTTAAGGTAAAATCTTCGACAGCTGTTTGTCTTTTGAGATAAAAGAAAGGCATGGCATCAAAGACGTCTCTGGGGTTTCTGGCTTGGAAACGTAACTAACTCTGAGGTGACCTGCAGTGAGGTCTGCAGAGCGCTGTGACATTGAGTCGGGAAATCATGCGCTCTTGGGATCTATAAATGGAGAAGACCGGAAGAAAGAAGAGCTGAGCATTTAGGGGCGCTCTCTCTTACTAACATTACACTCAGGGGTCGCACTCAAAGTTAAACCCACATTTCCCCTACGTTGGAGAAATGCTTTCTTCCCTCAGACCGAGCGGGAAGCTCGAAGCAGAGGCGTCGCTGCGCCTCCAGGGGGCGCCGCACGGGCCGCAGAGGCCACCGAGCCCGCCATGGCGGTGCCCCGGGTGCTGCTGCTCCTGTCCGGGCGTCCGGAGTCGGTGAGCTTCGCGCAGAGCGTGTGCGGCCTCCTAGGCTCTGGCCCAGGGCTCGGGCCGTGGCCCATGCACTGCAGCTTGAAGCGAGGACAGCTCATCCTCTCGGACAGGCCATTCCCGGAGGCCTCGGCCAGGCTTCCGCTCCAGGTCGGGAGCTGGGGGGCTCGAAGGGGAGGCGAAGGGCCGAAGATGGGGACTGGGGTGGGTGGGGACCGTCGGCGAGAGGCCAGCGGTGCGACCGGTCGCCAGGCCGGGACCTCCCACTACTCGGGGTCCCCAGTTCTGAGAGCCCCGCCTACGTCCTTGTGCCCCGCCCCCTGAAGCCCAATTTAAACCGGGCGTCTCCCTCTGGCCAGCGACCCCCTTTCTGCCCTTTTGCGGCCCTGGCCCAGCAGCCCATGGCCCCCAAGGCCATGCTGCCCGTGAATCGAGGTGTGGATCTGGGTGTGGCCGTCCTTCTACAGTCCAGCGACCAGACCGTCTTGTTGACCCGAAGGACACCCACTCTCCGAATCTCCCCCAACCTCTGGGTACCCCCAGGTGAGCGCTCAGGATACAAGGCCCCGGGGAAGAAAGTTGCCACCCCATCCCCCCACCCCTTCTCAGTCGCAGAAACGGAGAAGCGGGCCCACAACTGTGACATACCCACAATTACAGGGGGCCGCCGCTGTCCACTTGGGGCCGGGGCGAGGGGCAGTAGTAAAGCTTTCTGGTAAAGACAACCACCATTCACCTGCTGACTCCTCTTGTTGCAGGTGGGCATGTGGAGCATGAGGAAGAGGTATCTAGCAGTCAGCTGACCCAACCTGTGCCCCACCTACCTACGTGTGGGACCTCTGGATGTGGGCTAGGGAGGGGCAAACAGGACTCGGGGAGTCCAGCATTGCCCTCTCTGACTGCCCTCTTTGACTCCCAGTTGCTGGATGGAGGCCTTCGAGAGCTGTGGGAGGAGAGTGGACTACAGCTGCCCAAGGACCAGTTCTCCTGGGTCCCTCTGGGGTTATGGGAGGTGAGACAGGGGCCTGAAAGGGATCCCTTCCTGTTTAACCAGGAGACCTCAACAACTACCTGCAGAGTCCACATCTGCCCTGGCCACTGGGGGAAGCACAGGGGTGGACTGGATGGGCTGGTGTCCAAACCCATGACAGTCCTCACCTGCTTACCATCTACTTTCTCAGCTTCCAGCCAGCATTTTGTTTCACCCTGAAGCTGTACTTCAGTTTCAAAACCTGACAGGGTCTCTTTTGTTTTCTTTTCAGTCTGCCTACCCACCTAGGCTAAGCTGGGGTTTCCCCAAATACCATCACATTGTTCTCTATCTACTCGTGATCTCCCAGGAGTCACAGCAGCAGCTGCAAGTAGGTGTGGCAGTGGAGGAAGGAAGCAGGACTTAAGGAGTCTGAGCAACCTGGTTCTGATTGATGGGGTGGGGGTAGGGCCTGAGAACCAAAAACACTCAATACCCTCTCCCCCTGCCCTACCCCATTTGCTCCATTCACCGTGAGTAGTCTGTGATCAAGAATAGCACTCCCAGGAGAGCTCACAACTGAAGGAGCAACATGTCTAATCCCAGGCCCAGATCCAACCAAACCCAGGTGAGGTGAATGCCCTTATGTGGCTGGGACCAGAGGTAGCAGCCGCAGTGGCTGCTACAGAGGATGGGTCAGAGACAGCTGGCTTTCTCACCCAGGACCTGCCACCCTCTGTCCCGTAAGTAAATAAAGCTTCTCCCTTAGCCTTCAATGTACCAACACTCACAAAATTAGTTCATTCTCTTCAGGACAGAATTTGGGATTTGTGGGCAGACTTAGGGCAGTTGGTCCACTGATAAATTAAGAAACCTACATGAGATCAAAGACGATGACCAAGGGTTCTTATCCCATCTGGCTGGCACTGAAGACCTAGGTTTGAACTTCAGCCTTCCATAGGTACAAGCCATTTAACTCTTCTTAAACCTGTTCCCTTTCTGTAAAATGAAGTTAACACCCACCCACCTACCTCCTGCTGTGGTTGGGAGGATTGAATTACCTAAGGTAAGGAAGTTCTTCCCAAGCTGTAAGGCACAACCCAGACAGGAACTGTCCTAATGCAGTGCAATTCAGCTAGAAGAGGATGGAGGAGCCCGACCTGGGGCTGTGCCCATGTCCACGCTGCTGCAGACAACGCCAGCCACAGCAGAGGACAAAGAGAGGGTCAGCACTGGAACCAAGTTTGCTCTCAGGCTCTGGCTGCAACATCTGGGCAGGTAAAGGCAAGGGCCGCACAATGGAGGAGAAGGAAGAACTGCTCTCAGAGAGCCGTGTAATGTCCCCACCAGGGGAAAGTGGAGTTTACGTAGACCCGGAGCCAGCAGAGGACGGAATATGGACCCTCTTCCCCCAAACCAGAGGTCTGGAGAGCCCCCTCCCCAGTCCACCTCCAGGACACTCACAGAACATTCACAACCTTTATTGTGGGTGAGAACTTTGCTACAGCTTTGGGAATAAAAAGTAAAATTACAACATACGTCCTAGGCCCCGGAGGAGCCTGGAAAAATGACTGGAAAGGAGGGCACGGGGTCCTCCCACCACCCAGGAAAGGTGCAAAATGAGCCAGGCCTGCCCACCGGGCCATGGGTCTCTAAGAAGCTTAGGCCCCAGGCTGACTGCCATTAAGAAACACTGCGAACTTAAATATATATAAATAGAGAGAGACCTGGGCAACAGACCAGGCCCTCCCTGCTTCCAAACCCCTGGAGACCACAACTCAGGCCCATCTTCTCCTCAGTCATACTGGGAAGTAGGAGGCAAGGGAAGTCACCTTTGGAGTGTTTTGGTTTTTCTCATTTATGTACAAAAAAAATCTTCAACCCAAAATAGAGATCTCTGTCCATCTCTGAAACTGCCTGTCTTGGTTTTGCCACCTGTCTGTGTGGCTAAAGGGAATGGAATACACATGAGAAGAACGGACATTTGGGTTTGGGGGGTGGGAAGAGGGGCATCTTGGAGACAAGAGGAAGAACCTCTCCCCAGAAGACTCTAGAGAGTGGAGGCTGGTGATTCAGCCCATTCCCCCAGCTCATCCCATCCCATCTGCCTCCCACTGCCCAGGTTAACAAGCATACCCAAAGGAATGTGCTGCCACCTAAAGAACACTTCCAAAAATAGGCCCCAATGTCTTTAAAAGGAGGTTAAATATTAACCCTTTGGGTGCCGGCCTTGGTAGGCAGATGAGGCCAAAAGTGATGTCCGTGAAGATCTGTCTGGCCTTTGGCCAAACCCCCCCGAGGGATCAGAGTGGCCAGGGGCTGGGACACCACAGCATACTTGCTCAGTGTTGAGGGATAGTGAAGGTTTCGTAATCCAAGGGATTCAGTCCAGGGAAATGATGTCTGACCGACAGCCAGTCAAGGAAGGACCAGAAGGCAGGGGTCCCTCCCTCAAGGCCCCTCCAGGAGCCACAATGCTGCTGACGCGGCCAGGAGGGGGTGCTGGAGTGGAGCTGCGGTGTGAGCTCCCCAACGTGGGGGCCAGGGGGCCCAGAAAGTGGGAAGGGGTCCCCCGGTACTGGAAGAAGTGGCCAAGGGCGTCCTGTTCATCTAGCGAGGTGATGACGGAAGGACCATAGTGCTGGAAGAATCAGAGGCACAGTTTAAGATTTCATCATGACTTACCTGCCTTCCAGCACATGACGTAAGGACATTTTATGGAATAAGTCAACCCCTGTAAGACTCGAGGAATTCTCAAGAAACGGGAGGATCTCACTCTACCCTACTTCCCACACCCTTCCCATCTGCCCACCTTGGCGCAGCCCCTCCAGCTCACTAAGTTCTTGGCCTTGTGGGCATCTGTAATGTGTGGACTGTGCAGTTGGCAGACTTAGGCATGGAGCTGTCAGTGCCCATGGTGTGCAGGGCTGAGTAGGCAGGGAGAGAACTACACTGAAAACTTAACAGTAACGGGATCTAGAAAGACACAGGGAGGGAGGCACTGCCATCGGTGCCTAGCAAGGAAGCTGCATGGAGCTCAGATCTTCATGGGAAGAGAAGGGACCACTTACCTGACTCTCAGTCTGAAGAAAAGAAAATAAATCTAAACCTGGTAAGAAAAGAAAAATCAAAATCAACCTCGTATAAAAAGTTCCTTTCCAAGAGAGCCAGGAGACCTCAGGGTCTGGCATACCTTGGATGTCGGGCCCCAGGGGGAAGGCAGGTGGGTACTCGTGTAGTGGGAGACTGGACAGGAAGTCACTGCCCAGCGTGCCCATTGCAGGGCTCCGCAGCACCGAGGATGGCTGGTGACTAGAAGTCAGGACTCTGTGAATAGGAAAGAGATGGGCCGAACCACAGATACCCACACCCAGCTCAACTTCCCAAGTTGGCTTCCTGTCCTCCACCTTTCCCTTTCCCTGGGAGGGTTTGCCCGATGACCAGAACGCATCGCTGACTTCCCCGACCCTCTTGCTGTAGCTTCTGCCTGTTTTCTTACCCTTTGCTTCCAGGCAGGGCAGGGATGGCAGCTGAGGTGACAGGACAGTGCTTCTTGGTTGGGGGCAGATCCTCCTCATCGGATGAGCTTTCTATTGTCAAGTCAATAACTTCAACCTTCTTCTTACTCTCTGATGGATTTCCCTCTTGGACTGGGCTATACTGGAGGCCTGTGGGTGGTACAAAGAATGTGTCTCAGAAAAAGGCCCACTTGAGATTTAGCTCAGCTAGGGGACAGAGGGTCACTCACCATCCAGCCCATACCCTGGCGGGGGGCAAACCTCAGATGCCTCCTTTTTGGGTTTCATTGGGCACCAGGATCCATCTTCCATAAACTGGATCTCATCACAGTCCGAACAGGAATTAAGAATCTCCATGAATAAACTAGAGGAGGGGAAAGATGGGAATTCAGCAGTCAGGGTTCTGTGTCTCACCTTCCTGTACCTCAGTTTCCTCATCTGTAAGGTAGGGATATTAGCCACCCTACTATACCCTCTGACATGTTAACCTTGCCTAAAGTTAAGTAAAGTATGTAAAAGAGCTTTATAAACTTTGGGTGCTAAGTTTTAAAATAAACGTAACCTAAACTCCTGTTAGGTGTAGTTCTAACAACAGGACAGAGAATTCCATAAACCAACTCAAAAAAGATGCCGTGATGTGGTGGCACACTTGTGATCCCAGCACTAGAGTTGGGAGGCTAAGGTAGGAGGATCCCCACAAGTTCGAGGCCAGCCTGGGCTACAAAGTGGGTTTGAGGCCAGCCTACACTACAAAGACAGTCTCAAAAAAACAAACAAAAAAAGACACTGTGAGCAAGAGCCATAATGAAGGCTCTGGAATGGAGTTAAAACCAGATAGGAAAAAGAATTTTTTGCTTATGGAAAAAAAAATTCTTTGCTCATGGAAAATAAAATGCTTCTGTGGGGGTAGGGGGTAAATAGCGTAGCAAAACCAGGTATTCAGAAGAATCCCATTACTGTGCTCAGCAAGGGCTGGGGGTGTCGCTTAAAGGTAAAGCACTTACCTAACACGAGGTTGTGGGTTCGACTCCCATTACCACATTAAAAAAAAATTACGCTTGGGCCAGAGACTTAGCTTAGTGGTACCACGCCTGCCTCACAAGCGCAAAGTCCTGAGTTTGATCCCCGGTACCAAAACGAAAAATAAAAAATTTTTTTAAATTATGCTTAGTAGGAGGTAGTTGTAGGTAATAAAACAGTTCGGTACAGCAGTTCTGCCACTTAGAACAGTGTGGTCTCCAGTAAGAATGTCTGGGCCCCAGTTTCCTCATCTGTAATGATGGTTCTTATCTCACAGGGTTATTAGGAGGATTCGATGAGATAACATGCAGTGAGCAGCGTGATGCCTTTTACACGCTAGGCCATGGATGCTGTGTGCACACGTGCAGATCCAGATTGCTAAGACAGAGAGCTGCGTTCATGGGAAGGGCAGGAAGCCATGCATACGAAAAGGAGGGCCCAGGGGGTGTCCCGGGTAAGAGGTGGCAGAATGGCCCTACCCATCAATAATAAGAGATTCGTAGGGAGCCTTCTTGTCACACACAGGACACGTCCACGTCGGCTTCTTCTCATTCATCTGTAGGTAAAGGGCAGCATCGAAGCTCTGCAGGTGGGCACAGGTGAGGGCACGACATGGGACAGTCAGCCGCATCTTCCCTAGCTGAGGAGAAGAGTTCTGTAGTCAGAGCCTCCATGTTGGTTTCATTCTTTTAAAAAACCTCTAGTGTCCCTAGTCAAAGACCCAACCATCCTCCCCTGGTACCCACCGGGCACATGAGGGACACCCGAAGACTCGTAGTAGCCACCTCACTGTCAGGGTCAGCGGTCAGTTTCTCCTTTACTGAAACAAGAGTGAGGCGAGAGCCATGGGGTTAGCTCGGGTGGGGGAAACCCAGGGATTAGCGTGTCCAGAAGCAGACAGCCCTGGCTGAAGGCAGCTGGGTAGAGTCTCTGGAGACCGATGGGATGTCACATGGGAGTGGGTTGGGATCTGCTCACGAAGGCTGGGTGTGGGGGAGAGGTTTACCCTACCCCAGGGATACTGGAACATAGCTAGGTGACACTTTGGCTGGGTTAGAGATGACCTGGAACTGAGGCATCATGTAAGTTACATGGTATGACCCTTAAGAGTCTCTCCAGTCCAGAGAACCCTTATCCTATCAGGGCTGGACTTGGAATCTGTGAGGAGCAAAGCAGATGTGTGACTGGAATACATCAGCTGTCATTCACTGCCTGTGAGTGATCTGATTTCCAACCACGAAGACAGAGACAGTAAGGCATACGGGAGGGCTGGGAGGGCTGGGATTCTCCTGAGTGAGAGAAGCTGTCACACGCGAGCCACGCATTTCATTATGAAGGTTGGAGGGCCAGAAGACCTGGAGCCGGATCAGAGGGGAAGCGAGGGGGATGACATCACTCACTCAGTGCCCGGGAGTGGTCTGGGTTCCGGATCCCCTTTGCTCTGAGTTTTTGTAGAAGGGTCCCTGCAGTCAACTGCCTCACCAGGTACACAGACAAGGAGTAATTCTACTTGGGGTGGAGAGAAAGAATTAACTTCTGCTTCTAATACCACCACCACCCTCTTCTGTCTCATGAAGACCATAGACCCAGGACACTGGATGGCTCCTCCCTGCCCCGACAGCACTTTCTGGGAGCCATTTTCCCTACACTCACCCGTCCAAACTCAGATGACCAGTTGACCACGACGGTGTTGGGAACGGTGGCCGAGAGTCTAGCCAGGGGGGTGATGTTGATGGGGCGGCTGGGCCTCTTGGGCTCCGCCCCATTCTTGGTCGGGGGAAGGTAACCCTGAGGGAGGGAGGGACCTGTCAGTGGACAGGTGGTTCTGGGAAGGGTTCTGCTTTAACAAAAGAAGACAGCCGGGGATATTTAGCTCAGTGGTTCTGGCGCCTGTCTCGCAAGCGCAAGGTCCTGAGTTCGATACCCGGTACCAAAAAAAAAAAACAGTAAGAACAGAAGACATCTTGTCTTGGGTTCCTCATTCCCTGGGGGAAGGCCAGCTCTCTCACCAAACAAGGGAATAGGGGCCCATTCAGTGAGACACATCATATACGGATGCGTATGGGGTTCGTTCCTCTTTCAATAAATAACGAAAGTTATTTAATCAGCCAAGAAAATAGGAACCCACTCACTGAGTCCCTGAGGAAGAGGAACAGGGACACCTAACTTCTAACTCTCAGCCCAGCTCTGGGAACATGAGTTCTCTAAGAAGTCTTTCTTTCAGTGGTACTGGGGACTGAATCCAGGGCCTTTGCACTGATCTATATCCCAGGCCTTTTTTTTTTGAGAGTGTCTTCCTAAGTTGCCCAGGCTGGGTTTGAACTTGCAGTCCTCCTGCCTCAGCCTCTCAGAGTGGTGGGATTAAAGGAGATTGCCACCATACCCAGCTAAGAAGTCTTTCTTGAACCTTTGAGCTGAATTAATGTGCTTCTAGAGGTCCTGACAGAACCTCTGTTCAACTCTTAGTACTCTCAAGATTTACTGATTCTGTCAGTAAACTGAGTACCTACTCAGTGGCAGGCACTATGCTAGGCATATCTCTTTCACAGGTGTGTAGCTAATATTTATGCACTGAAACTGGAGAGGTTGCTGCCCAAAGAAGGAAGAGCGTTTACCGGTAGGGGACACAGTTTCCCATTGACCTTGACAAAGAGGTTGGGGGGGAAATAATCCTCCTGGGGGCAGCTGGTCTCACAGAGACAGAACCTGGTGAGGAATAACAGAGCATGAAAGGATGGGAACCAGTTTCTTAGGCTCAATCTGGCAGAGGCAGGCAACCCCAGAAAACCAGTCATAGATCTCCGTAGGCCTCAGTATCCAGCAATCCCAGGCTGGAGCAGGCAGAGCCAGAGCAAGGCTACCTCCCAGGAATATGTGTCACACCCCTATTTCACTTCCAACCCCAGGGGGAGCCCAGCAGGGTGGAAAGGGGCAGCAACTCACCTTAGCTGCACCTGTATGGTATAATCACATTTGGCTCCTGGAAGAACCTCTCTGTAACAGGGAGAGGGAGAGACGTCAGCGCGTGGCCTCCAGAGGGAGAGTTGCGTGGACAGACAGAAGGACAGAGAAGAGACTTACGAAGGAATGAGAGCCAAAGCAGCAGGAGTGACAGGGGGGAGAGTGGAACAGAAAAGACAGAGAGCAGAGTCTGGGGTGAACACCCCCGGATGAAGCCAAAGGACTCAAAGAGATGTACCTGGACGTGAGAATCTGCTGCACTTGCTGGGGGGTGAGGGCGAAAGTAAAGTGCGCTTCCTCAAACCGATGACTAGAAGTGGATGCTGAGGACACAAGGAGGTAGTTATTCCCACACCATGCACTGGCAGCCATGGGAGCTGCCTCCTCCCCAGACTGCTGGTCCCACAGGACTAAAACTAAGAAAGGAGTACAGCCTACAAGGCTGAAGGACCACAGGAGCCATACCGAGGGTGGTGGGTCGAATGAGCTCCCCGTAGACTTCATAGAAAGGCAATGGTTTCATGGTGACATCGGGGTGCACAGGCTGGGGGAGTGGGGGGTGCATGTCCACCTCGCGCTTGGGGCCCAGCAGAGTGCCAGGGGCCAGGAGGGCTGGGGGAATGGGAGCTAGGGGGCCCGGGGAGCCTACGGGAGAGGTGCCAGGGGGCAGAGAGAGCATGGAGAGATCAGAGGGCCCCAGGGACTTCCTGGGAAAGCGCCGACGGTAAAGCTCTTTGATCTTCATCTGGACACTGGGGGCACAGCTGGACTTGAGAAGATGCAGAGCCTTGGCCAGGAGCTCGTGTTTCCGTCCACTCTTGTTCCGGCCAGCAAAGCCGAGGAGCACCTGGAGCTCAGACACCCGGAAACTCATCACCATGTGCTGTGGAGAAGAGCAGCTTAAGGACCCTAAGCTTGCACAGACCCGTCCACCAGGGAAAGGCAGTCAGTGCTTCTTTTCCCCTAGCAGTGACCCGAAGAGTGCTCTGTGGCTACTGGGTTACTTCCAGGCAGTTAACTGGTCAAGGACATCTCAGACTCACCTTAGCAGCCCACAGGTCAGCTTCACCAGCACCTCCCAGGGACACAGCAACCCTACTGCCCTAAGCCTGCCAGCCAACCAGTGTGGAAACAGGAAGGCACATGGCAGGCTGTGCCCACACACAACTGAGTCCACTGAGGCTTCCTACCTCCAGCCTAGACTCTGGGTTTTTAAACTGCTTATCTCCCCTCCTGCTCTTTCTCAGATGCATCCCAGCCTCCCTTGGAGAGGACAGGAGACAGGGGGAAGGAGGGAGGAAAGAGAAGATTCAGGCCAGACAGCCTCACAGGGAAGGGGCCAGGTGGCTGGAGGACTGCGCTCCACTCCGTTGCCCACCCCTCCCAACCACACCAATCCACCTCAGCTATTTTCCCCAAGCCTCCGTAGCTTTTATGGCCAGGGTTTCTAGGTCAGGGTTCAATGCTCACAACTCTCCCAAATCCTTTCTCAACATCATTTACATAACTAGTCTACCTTAGAGAGAAACAGAACCAAAACTCTGTGTGTGCGTGCGTGCGTGCGTGCGTGTGTGTGTGTGTGGTGGGTTAACAATGCGTCATGAGCCCAGGTGAACTGCCTGTCTACTCTATCTTTCAGGAGCCAATATCCTGCTTGTCTCCCTCCTGGCAAAATTAGGTGATTTAATCCATCCATATACCCCAGTGGGGGCTGGAAGAAGAGAGGGCCAAGTCCCTAACAGAGATCCTGGGAGAATGAAGGTAGGGACCCTGGGCCAGGGCACAGAGTCACAACCACCTCTAAAGGAGACTGGGTCCAGTGGCGAGACTCCAAGGCTGCCTAGGATCCGGGCTCTATTTCAAAGGACAGAAGAAAGCCAGGAGGCTGGGGAGTAAACCTAGCGGCTTAAGGTTCTGTAAGATGACCTCAGTGGCTCCCGCAAGACTCTGTGTGGTGACGGGAGGGGAGCTCTCTCCTTCCAGGGCTCCCTTCTGTGACTCTAAACCTTGCCACAGGCAAGCCTTGCCAGCCCTCACCAGTCCTGCACCTCGAGGGTAGCTTTGTCTTGACCATTTTTTGAAGAATGCGATGAAAAACTTGCTCTTCTAGCTTTCTTCTCATTCTTAACTTCCTTATCTCTCATTAGCTGTGCCTATAACTTCCCTCCTCTCCATGCCAGTTTCCCACTCCTCTGCCTCTGCCCAAACACAGCGAGTGGCTCACCGGGCCCGCCCTCCCTCAGCCTCCAGGATGCTCCTGCCCCACCCCTCGAGGCGTCGGCCACAACCCCGCCCCTCCGTCTCAGCCGCCCACTGGTGCTTCCCAAGGCTCAGATGCCCACAGCAGCCCCAAAGCCTCTGCCCTCGGCTGCTTTTCCCCAGGAGCTTCCCCTACCTCTGCCCCCGCTGCCATCCCTACATCTTCCCCTTACTGTCGCATCTCGGCCGAATCGACTCGCTCCCTGTGTCTCTACGGCAGCTCCCCCCCACCCCCGGCTCTCCCCCTTCCTCTCCCCCTTCCTCTCCCCCTGGCACCAAACCCGACCTCCGCCCGCGTCCCCGCCCCCTGCGCCGCGGCCCCCAACAGCTGCAATTCCCCTCGGCCCCACCCCTACATCTGCCCCGCGGCCCCGCCCCCGAGCCGCCGCAGCCTCCTCCTCGCCCGCAGCCACTTCTCTCCAGTCCCCGGCCGCGGGTCCCTGCCACGTCTCCCGCACCCTCTACACCCCGTCCCGGTCGCTTCCCCGGCTCGGCGCCCCGCGGGGCGCAGTCCGGGTGGGGCCGGTACCTTTAATTCTCCCAGCTCCGCCATCTTGAGACATCGCAGGCGCCCCAGCCCGAGCCCCAGCCCAGGCCCAGGGACCGGCGCGCAACTCTCCACCGCCGCGCCGGCCGCAAATGCCGCCCGCTCCGCCCCGTCCGGCCCCCTACACCTCCCCTTCCCGGCCCCGCCCGCCGGGCTCCGGACAGGCCCCGGCCTCGGCCCCTCCCTCCGCAGCCGACCCCGGCCCCCGCTGGTCCGAGGCCGTTTGGTGAGAGCCTGGACCTGGAGGGAGTGCGTTGCCCAACGATCGCGGGGTCCCGGGGTAACGGGAGGGGGCGGGCCCGAGGTTCCTGGGGGAGGAGGGCTTTGCCGCGCTGGAATGGGGAGGGGACGAGCTTTTAGGGAGCCTGAGGTACTTGAAAGATGGAGGGAAAGTCTCGGGGACTGCTAGATCGCTGGGACCTGGGGGAGGGGTGGCGAAGTTGGAGCAGGCACCCTCAGCCTCCTTCTGGACAGCTTTAACCAGCTAGAACCATGAGTTCTACCAACTCGGGAGTGGGAGAGTCCTGATCACTTTAGGGAAGTTAGGGAGTCGTGAACAGTTCGCGACAATTATTCCCGATCCTCCAACACCCCCAACACACACACACACACACACACACACACACACACACACACAAACACACACACACCAACTACACACAGTCCAGCCGCAAGACTCAAACTCTCAAAAGTTTGGTGCAGAGAGCGAGACTTACCAGCACCGTTGCGGGGAGCGGCTAGGGGGCTCAAGAGGCTCAGAGTGGGCTTGGGGAGGTGGGCGAGGCGGCTCCACACCGCTCCGGCGATCTGCACCGACCGATCAGTCCCGAAGCTGGACTCCGCCGCCGCAGCTCCGCCCGCCTCGGCTGGGGCCGCCCCCTCCGGGTGAACCCGCCAGCACTGCGGAGAGGGGAGAGGAGGTGGGGCCCCGGGCGGGAGAGGGAGGGACTGGGAGCCCGAGCGGGAGATTAACTCCTCGAATGAGTGGAGCTCCACAGACAAAAGTTGTTGGACCTCCGCATCCTCGCTACCGCTGTGGCTGCTCGCGCCGATGTGCGGGTCTTTGAAGGGAGCACAGCTAAGGACGTGTGGACCAGGGATCTGACTGTAAAGAAATTTTTTCTTGGAATGAGACCTCTCCCTCCCTAGTGGAAAGGGTGGGCTGCTAAATGGAAAGTGGACCTAACCTAAACCCTCTACAACTGGCCCTCGACCCCCTACCCCAAAGAGGAAAACTATCACCAGCGATCCCATCTCTGGTGTAGCTGAAAGTGAACAGAGGAAAGGTTTTCCTATACACACACACACACACACACACACACACACACACACACACACACACAGACGGGCTCTTTCTGGCCTTCTCTGAATTGCCTGCTCTCTTTTCTTCTAAGCCTTGGGCCCTCCAGGCGCTTTGTCTCACTTGCAGGTCCCAGAGCAAATCTGTTTCTGAATCCATAGAAATACTAACTAGGGTAGTATATCCATATATTTGAGCGGTGATCAGGAATTGTTAGGTGTTGAGAGCATAAATGCCTTGCAAGACCTCACAGTCTAGCAGCAGAGACATGTTAAACCTATAATCAGCAGGCAAAATAAAATGTTTTCATAAATACTAGTAATAATCTCGCCATTTAGCTTAAACCTCCAGTGTGAGCCTTCCTATGAACCACCTAAGCCAGAAGACTGAGGGTGCTAGCCTACCTCTATTCCTAGGCACCTGCTGGGCCAAACAATGTCCAAATACTTTGTAGGGGGTTTTTCTAGGGAAGATGGCCACCCTCTCCTGACAGGTTCTTTCCTTGATATTTAAAGATGCCTGAACCTGTGGCCCTCTGAGCTAATGTGGGCTAATATTTGTTTTTGGTTTGGTTTAGTTTGAGACAAGTTCTCACCAGGCCGGCCTTAAACTCACTAGGTATCCCTACATTGGCCTCCAACTTCAGGCAGTCCTCCTGCCTCAGCCTCCTAGTGCTGGGAATACAGGCTTGGGCTAAGTATTTTGTTCTAAATCCCAGCTTCTCCCTCTAACACTTGAGTCTTCATCAGGCCCTAAAGTCATGTTTTGTTGTTTCTCTATTCTGTCCTCCAGATGAAAAGTTACTATGGATTATTTTCTAGAAATTTTTAGTAGTTCCAAGGGGGAGGGTAGGGAGGATTTAAAGAAATATGGACAGGGCAACTTGAGGGATGAGTATGTTCATTTTCTTGATTGTTTGGAATTTGTTTGATATATATGTGTATATATATATATATATATATATATATATGACAACATTTATCAAGTTAGGTACTTCAAATGCAGTTTATGCAATCAATTATACCTCAATAAACATGTACAAATTTACAAGACAGGCTGTCCTTTAAAAATTAATTTGAAGCCAGGCATGTTGGTGCACACCTGTAATCCCAGCACTCAGGAGGCTGAGGCAGGAGGATCAGCACAAGTTTGAGGCCAGCCTGGCTACATAGTGAGCTCAGGGCCAGCCTGAACTACTAAGTGAGACTTTGTCTCGAAAAACAACAAAAGGGCCGGGGATTTAGCTCAGGGGTCCCACCACTTGCCTAGTAAGCACAAGGTCCCAATTTCGATCCCTGGTACCAAAAAAAAAAAAATTAATTTGGAGCTAGGACTGGGGGTGTACCTGAGTAGTAGTATACGTGCTTATCCTGCATAGGCCCTGAACTCAATCCCCAGCACCAACACTTACACACACGAAGTTAATTTGAAATTATAAATTCTTGCATTCTACACAGCAACAGAAACTGGGAACCAAGGAACTTAAATCTCATTCTCCATAGAAGCTCCATGAGAACAAGAAATCTTTTCCATCCTCTTCATATTCTACCCTCAGTATCTGGAACACAGTAGACTCCTTAAATATCTGTTTAATAATTAATGTTACACAAGCAAAGGAGGGAAACTGCCAATCAGGACCAAGTTCCCGATGAGAGCAGCATTCGGAGCCCGTCTGAAGCCCATCATGGCTGCCAAGTTCCACCTTTTCTCACCCAGAGGTTCCCACCATCTGAAGCCTGCAGACTGAGGAGAAGTGAAGCCAGAGTAAATCCCTACCAAAGTCCTGTTGCACAGACAGCCCAGGAAGAACAGAAGGAATGTTGGGATTAGAGTTACTTTGGGGAAAAAATATTTATGATAGCAAGAAAAAAATCGGGGTTTGGAGTTGGGATAACAGTTTATGAGGTTGTTTGGAAGATTATTTTGGAAAACAAGGGGCTGGGTAGGTTCCACTCCTGTAACTCCACTCCCACAGCTCAGCTATCCTGGGATCTGCTTCCAAAAAGCCAAAAGCCAGGCTTCCATCACCAAAGCTGTTTCCTGACTCATGCTGGAGCTTAGCCAAGTGACCTCCCGTCTCAGGACCCTTCCCGCTCTGCAGTTTCTCCCTTCTCCCTGGCCCACAGCCACTGTAATGTAGGAATGTGTCCTTTGGTGTTCTCTGCCAACTCTGGGTTCTGCTCCTTTAACAGCAATGGCCTGGACCCTTCAGAAGAAGCTGCACTGCTGCTTCCTGTCTCTGTCAATGCCCCTCTCTCCATTCCCTTAGCCTTAAAGCAGGCTTGCAGCCATTCAACAAGCCCCAGCGCTGGCCTGCACCTTGTCGAGAGTCTGACCTACATGTTCCAGATGGTTTTTTCCTCTGCTAAACTCTGGAGCCAGCCTCCGCAGCCATTGTGGAGCTGCGCCCGCCTCCCACCTGACCTCCCTTTCATTTCCACAGCAGCCTCAACCCCCTCCATTCTCTGGAGCCAGACTCTGTCTCTGAACACCGCCTCCACTGCCAGGCCGCAGCTGTCTGGCCCAGGCTGAGAGAAGGAATGCAGAGGCGTCTGTGTGAGGACCTCCAGGTTGTTCCTGGATTTTGGAGGAATTCGCCCACCTAGCAGCCTGGCTTGAGGAGGGGCAGGAAAAGGCAAGGCGGAGGCCTGGGGAAGTGGCAGAGAGATACATTCTTTCAGTCCCAGAATAGAACCAAAGACAAGAAGCAAACTCTGGGTATCCTGTCCTCCTTTTCTCAGGAATCAGACTGAATGTTTGTTTTGGCTTTTTGAGACAGGGTCTTGCTATGAAGCACAGGCTGGCCTTGAATTTGCAGCAAGCCACCTGCCTCAGCCTCCCAAGGGCTGCCATTACAGCACTCCACTTTCATCCCTCTTTCTAAAGGGAACAAAGAATGCTGATCAAACACATCCTTTAGCCCAGGTGTAGTGGTGCACACCTTCGATCCCAGAACTCAGGAGGCTGAGGCAGGAGAATCACCTCGAGTGAGTTCACAGCCAGTCTGAACTACATAGTGGGACCCTGTCTCAAAACAAAAAAAAAATCGTTTAATATGTTATTTTACATTGACTATTTTGAAGATAATCCAAGTTTCTCAACTTCCCTTTAAAAAGATCATACTGCTCTGCCCAAAGACTCCCTGAATCATAGGAGCAATAGAACTCTGACTTCTTAGAGCAGGACCTATTCATATTTCATATATATCTTCCACTGTGTTTCTTATTGCTGTTGAATTTTTGTGAGTTTATACTCTTATTTATGGATGGATATGGGACTTTTGGGGCCCTGTGGAAAAGAGGGGAGCTTAATTTGGGAATGAGATTCTTCTCCAACAGATTAAAGATTCTTCATAGGGATCAGAGATGAACAAAGGGAAATTGACTGGTGCTTCTGTCTTTCCAGAACTTCTGGAAATAAAAAGGCAGAGATAAGGCCCAGTGGAAGATGTTATAGCAAGAGGGAGAATGTTCTGCACCCTTAAGAATAAAATAGAGGGGCCCGGGGATTTAGCTCAGTGGCACCATGCCTGCCTCGCAAGCGAAAAGTCCTGAGTTTGATCCCAGGTACCGCAAAAAAAAAAATTTAAAAAAATAAAAGAATAAAATAGAGGGCGGGGGTGGGGATTTAGCTCAGCGGTGCTGCCACCTGCCTCACAAGCACAAGGTCTCGAGTTTGATCCTCATACCAAAAAATAAAGTAAAATATGAAGCTATGGAAAGGTGGGGCAGGGGTAGATAGATTATGAATTCAGGAATTAGAGAAAAAGTAAAAGTTGGCCAAGAAAAATAAAAAGCCAGACATAAAGGTATGTACCTGTAATCCCAGCACTAGCCTGAGGCAGGAGAATCAAATTCGAGCCCAGCCTGAGCAGTTTTATGACTTGATGAGAACCTGTCTCAAAATGATAGATAGATAGATAGATGAATACATGGATTGACAGACTTGGGGCATAGCTGCGTGCAAAAGCCCTGAGTTCACTCCCAGTAGTGGCATGGGGAGGGTAGAAAAAAGAAATTTGAGAAAGAAGGAAGTCAAATCTCATTTTCACTGAGGACTTGTGATGTTAATCTTGTCAACTTGATTGGCTTGAGAGATGCCTAGAAGATTAGTAAAGCACATTTCTAGGTGTGTCCTGGGGATGTGAGGCGGCGTTTGGGACTGTATTGGGTCCCTGGCCCCTCCTTCTGTGGGCTCTCCCCCTGCTCTCTACTTCCATGCTGCTCTGGGCCCAGCTGCTCACCTCTGCCACGCCCCTTCTCCGTGATGTTTCAGTGATGGAGCGGGCCCACCATGGGGTACAAGCTCGGAAACCAGGAGCTGAAAATAAGCATCTCCTCCTCTGAATTGATTGTGTCGGGTATTTTGTCCCAACAATGGAAAACTGACACAGAGCTGCTTGTCAAATTGTGGGTCTTGACCCTTCACTGAATGGATTGTGACCAACAGTTTTTGAGTGGAGTATGAGAGAATAGAAAATAAATAGTAAGCCCAGGGATTTAGCTCAGTGGTTCTGCTGCCTGCCTCATAAGCACAAAGTCCCAAGTTTGATCCCCAGTACCAAAAAAAAAAAAGTAAGGTAAGGATTCCTTTTTTTGTATCATTTCAAGTATATACACACAGGATATAAAATGGATGTCTTATCATGGATCATAAAGGTTGAAAGCTGCTGTTTGTGATGAAAAGGGAATGAAATAATTGTCAAAACTCGGAGGGAACCAAGATGTCCGTCAGTAGGTGAATGGACAAATAAACCCTTGTATATCCAGACACTGGAATAGCATTCAGTGCTAAAAGAAATGAGCTATCAAGTCCTGAAAAGGCATGGAGGAAACTTAAAATATATATATTACTAAGTTAAAGAAGCCAATCTGAAAAGGCTGCATGCTATGTGATTCCAACTACATGGCATTCTGGAAAAGGCAAAACTATGGGGACAGTAAAAAGGCAGTAGTTTCCAGGAGAAGGTAGGGAGGATGAATAAGCAGGCCACAGAGGAGGAGTCTTAGGGGCATAAGACGACTGCTAATGCTGTCATGGGAGACATATGCTATTACACTTCGCCTAAACCCACGGAATATGCACATCAAGAGTGAACTCTAATGTGGGCTATGGACTCTGGCCAATAATGATGTGTCAGCGGTTATAACAAATATGACATTCCAGCGAGGGATGTTGATAATAATGTGCATGTGTCGGGGAAGAAGTGCATGGGAAATCTCTCTACCTTCTGCTCTGTTTTGCTTAGAACCTAAAATCTATTTGTGGTACCAGGGATTGAACCCAGGGCCTTCACATTGAGCTTCATGCCCAGCTCCCCTTTACCTCCCTCCCCCCTTTTCAAATTTTGAGACAAGTTTTCAGTATGTCAGTGAATTACCAAGTCTGGGCTTAAACTTGGGATCCTTCTGCCTCAGCCTCCCAAAGAGCTGGGATTATAGTTGTACAGTACTACACCCAGCTTAAAGTACAACACCCACCGTTTTGATAGATAGAGGGAAAAACAACAAAACAGTGACACCCAGCACCATCCTGCTTCCTGCTTTATTTTCCATGGAGCTGGTTTCCATCCACACCTCTGGCCTCAACCATGTTGATTCCAGGGTCTAGGTTCTCAGGTCTTGGGTCCATTTGTCAGGTGAAGCCCCACCCACAACCCCTCGTGGCCAAACCCACCCACCCACCATAGCTTGATGGAGCCTCTGTGAACCAAGGATGGTCTTATTCCCTGAAAGAAGAAATTCAAGAGTGAAATGCACAAACTGCCATATGCTCAGTCTGCTCCTGCCCGTGTCAACGCACTACAAGAGACCGTCATCTTTCTGGACTAGAGAAGAGAACCACTTGCATAGGAGTGGGAAGAAGAGGGCAAGATAGCTGCTCTCTCTCGGTACCGGGGATCCAACTCCAGACCTTGCTCTTTCGAGGCAGGCGGTGGAACCACTGAGCTAAATCCCCGGCCCAGTAGCTGCTCTTTGAATGAACGATAAAGAAGTGAGGGAGAAATTCTGGAATTTGTAGAGTTCCGCCCTAGGGAACAGCTCGGTACCTCTATCTTACTGTCACTCATCTGTGTGTGTGTGTGTGTGTGTGTGTGTGTGTGTGTGTGTGTGTTTATGTGTGTGTGTGAGAGAGAGAGAGATTCTGGAGACTGAACTCGGGCTTCACACTGGGCTACATCCCCAGACATTTTCACTTTTTTATTTTGAAAGAGAGTTTCGCTAAGTTGCCAGGCTGGGCTTCCACTTTCCACCCTCCTGCCTCACGCCGCACCCCAAGTGCTGGGATTACACCAGTGCCCTCGCTCCTGTCACTGGCATCTGCCTCCCGTTGACCTTAGGAGAATCACCCAAGCCCTCTCTTCAGTCTCCAGCCCATAAATCGTGCCCCAGAGTCTGACTCTAGCCACTCGCAGAGTCCTCACTCTCCCCAATGACTCCCCATGCTGTACATTCTCAATTGACCTTAACTCAAAGGCTCTGTGTCCCACAGGACTCCTGGAGGGGGTAAAAGGAGATTCGGGTTGCCTCTAGGAGAGAAGTCTCCCAAGCCCTCACTCCAAGCTCCACCCTCCTCGCCTGCCTCTCACAACACAGAACTCTCCTTACCTCTGAGGGCGCAGGGCTGCCTCACTCCTCTTGCATGCTGAGGATTCGAAGTAGGACATTGTACACATCCTGCTCCATGTAGCCCTGTACAAGACACGGCAGGAAAGACATAAAAGGAGATGAAGAGTAGAAAATGGAGGAGACAGGCATGGAAGAGATTCTGTGATACAATGCTGCTGTTTTCTGTAATCCTCACTTACAACTTAAATTTTAAAGTAATTAGCTTTCCCATGGCTGCTTCCCTGTCCTCCTTGCAAGAAGATAATAATGCCTACTTTTCAGGGTTGCTGTGAGGGTTACAATTATGAATATGAAGCAAAGCACCAGAGCCACAGTTATTCCTTTTTTTTTTTTTTCTCCTGGTACTGGGGATTGAACTCAGGACCTTGTGCTTACAAGGCAGGCATCACACCACTGAGCTAAATCCCCGGCCCAGTTGTTCCATTTTTTTATTGTTGTTGCTTTGTTTTTTGGTACCAGGGATGGAACTCGGGACCTTCCGCTTGTTCCAATTTTTAGTTTTTTGGGGGTTTTTTTTGTTTTTTTTTTGGTACTGGGGATCGAACTTGGGTCCTTGCGATTTTGAGGCAGGCGGCAGAACCACTGAGCTAAATCCCCAGCCCCAAATTTTGTTAGAGCTTTTTTTTTTTTGGTACCAGGGATCGAACTCGGGACCTTGCTCTTGTTCCATTTTTTAAAGGAACAACCTGCCCACCTTTTCTTCCTTGGTTAGGACTAAGGTGCCTGGAGGAAACCCAAGCAAGAGTACAGGGGACAGGAAAAGACCAATGGGTCAGGAAATGGAAAGGGGAGGGCAAACATCCCCCCTTTCACATTCATGCACAACCTCTCCCAATCTATCTACAGAGACCCACAGAGCTGGCTCTGGATGCAGCTCTCTGAGAAATGGCAAGTTTGGAAAGAAAAGGGCTCCAAATACAACACCCCTACCCAGCTGGACGTCTGGCCCACTCCCAAACTCCACCTCGCTCACCTGAGCAGCACTCAGTAGATGATTCCTATAGGTGGTGATGATCTCTTCATTGCTCTTCTGGGAATCCTGGGAGGGGGCACAAGTAGAAAGTCACGTCCCTGCCCTCTCCCCGCTCATTCGGGTGTGGGGAGTGGTAAAGTGAAGTGGTCAGCTTTCCCAGGCGGCTCCCTTGGCCTGGCCTCTGTACCTCCCAGAATGTCTCCCAAACGACCTTCACTTGCATTGTCCACCCTTTTCTCTAGCAGTGTCCACTTCCCAGAGGGCCAAAACACACCTGCAGCTCCAGGGCAAGGCGAGCATTTTCTCCCCGCACTGATAGAACTTCCTCTGAAAGCTGCTCCAACTTCTTCAACAACTCCTTGATCTGAAGCCAAAGGAAAGAAAGGGAACCGATGGGGCCCAAGTCATCCACCTGCTCCAAGCACCAGTCAGAGTCAAGGTCGGCTTCTTTTTATTGGGTATTTAATACGGGCCAGATACTTTTATATACAACTGCCCTGTTCAATGGTCAACACAGCCTTTTTTTTTTTTTTTAACAGAACCAGGGATCGAACTCAGGACCTTGCACTTGCCAGGCAGGGTGCCACTGAGCTACATCCCTGGCCCTACCACAGCCTTCTTCTGAGAAGAATTTAATACTTCTCTGAAGGAAGGCTCATTATCCACATTTGCAGATAAGGAGCCTCAATTTAGTAATTTGTCCGAATACTACAGATACTAAGTGATGAAATTATGATTCAGTCAAGAGCTCTTTGACTCCATAGTCGAGGCCAGTGGTGGCTCCTAAAGGTTCACCATCCCCGGCCTATGCTCTTCACTCAGTACTGGATCCTATCCCACTTCTGGCTGTGACCACCGAGGGGAATGGAGATGAGTCCTAGTGGCTTCCGAGGCAGAGGCACCAGTGCAGTTAATGACAGCCAGCCCCGGTGTGAATGGTGCCAGTAGGAATAAAATAGCTACTTTTTTAAGAGCAAGAGCTATGGTATTATAGAACTCCCACTCAACAGATTTCAGGGTAAGAGAGCCAAGGATGTTCTGGATGCGCTTCATGGCCTATTTCCTGGCAGCCTTACACCTCTCCAACTGGCCTTGAACTAGTTATCCTCCTGCCTCAGCCTCTTGAGTGCTGTGATTATAACCATGTGCTACCACACCAGGCTTCAATTGCTAGTTTTTATCAAGTACTTACCATGTGCCAAAAATTGTTCTAAGTATATATATATGTGTATATATATATTATATAAGTATATATATTTTATATAAGAGTGTGTGTGTGTGTGTGTGTGTGTGTGTATTTTTTTTTTGGTACTGGGGATCAAACTGGGGTCCCTGCACTTTCGAGGCAGGCACTGGAACCACTGACCTAAATCCCCAGCCCCTGTTCTAAGTATATTTAACACTTTATTTAATGTAATTCTCACAGCTACTTTATTATTTATCTCACTGGAAATGTTAAACAACTTTCCTAAGATCCTAAGAGACAACTAGTAAAGTTGTTTGTTTTGTTTGCATTGCTAGGGATTGAACCCAGGGCCTTACATATGCTAGGCAAGCACTCTACCACAGATACACCCTCAGCCTAAGTTTCATCTTATTTTATTTATATTTTTTGAAACAGGGTCTTGCTATGTAGGTCAAGCTGACCTCGAACTCATGGCAGTCATCCTGCCTCAGCCTCCTGAGTGCTGGGATTACAGGCATGAGCCACTACACCCAGCTCTCAGCATAAATTTTAAAACTGAAATTCTATCCAGACACTCTCACATCCTTAACTACTATGCTATATTTTTTTTCAATTTGTTTACTTTTATCTTTTTCAGTAGAACAAAAAATTCTACCTTTCTTTGACCCCACTCCACCTGATTGCTATTTTAGATAACATTCCTTCTATTTGTATGTACTCTAAACTAGGTAAAAATGCTCTTTATATTTTTTAATTGCTTTAAATTTGATCATGCATTCACATTTATAAGTCTGAATTCACTTCATAGCTAGTTCTAGAATTACTAAATTCATTTGAAAATTGTTTAGAATTTGTAAGATACCTCATAGAAATTTGTAGATTCAACTTTTTTTTCCTTGTGAGATAGGGTTTTGCTATGTAGTCAGCCTGGCCTTGAACTCATTATGCAGCCCAGGCTGGTCTAGGACTCACAGCAATCCTTCTGCCTCAGCCTCCTGAGTGCTGGGATTACAAGTGTGCACCACTACACTCAGCTTCAACTCACTTTTAAAACAAGCATTAACTCCAGTGTCTAAGAGTGATTTTCAAACTTCCCCCCTTTGCTTTGGTGTCCTCTTTGCTAACTGAAATCTTTCGTGGAACCCACTTTGAAGTGGGAGGGAAGAAGAGCAGATACAGCTGGGTCTACTTCACCCATGGAACCCTGAGTCACCTCTGAACTTCAATAAAACCACAACTACCCATTAAGCTGTTAGGACCCCTTAGGCCGATGCACTAAGTCAAAATGTTGCCGCCGTGGTGGCGCACACCTGTGACCCCAGCACTCAAGACTGAGGCAGGAGGTGACTGTGAGTTCTAGGCCAGCCGGCTGTAGAGTGAGATCCCTGCCTTACCTCCTGCTAAGTGAACCATGCGCGTGGTGCACACTGCTTCTGAACTCTGAGTCCTAAATTTCAGTGCCTAAGCCCTATTGTCTGTTCTATTCCGATCTTACTCCATCTCCAATCTCAACCCCAAGCCCCTCAGCTCCCCGAGAGCGCAGCGCAGTCCTGGAAACCGTTAATCCTGTCTGGGACATAAATCCGCCCAACTAAATGCTGATAGGTTCAGGTCTGCAAACTGCTAAACACACACAACGCCCAGCACTGCTCCCGATGCTGTCCTCGCTGCTCACCTTGGCCTTCTTGTCCCGGCACGCCTCCATGAGACGCTCTGTCTTCTCCTTGAGCCCTTCCGCTGTTTTCTCAAACTCCTCCGAGCGGCCACGGAGCTCGCTGGCCCGGCGCTCCTGCTCCGCGGCCCGGGCGGCCAGGTCGTCACTGCGGCGCCGCTCCTCGGCCGCGGCCTCCCGAAGCCGACCCATCTCCCGGCAGGCCGCATTATACTTTTCCAGCACATCCTTTAGCTCCTGGCCCCACGCCTGGGCCTGGGCCACCAGCAAACGAGTCTTCTCATGCTGCCGGAGGCTGGCGGCCTCCTGGGCCCTCAGCTCGGCCACCTCCTCGGTGGCTTGGTAGAGCAGTTGCTTCAGCTTCGCCATCTCCTGGCTCTTCCCGCTCATCGCGGCCTGAACCGCCCGCAGCTCTTCCTCTAACTTCCCCAGGTCTTGCTCCAGGGCCGCCACTTGGGGCGAGGCCGGGGCCTTGGAGAAGGCAGCCGGTTCCCCACCCAGGGCCAGGGACGCCCGCAGCCGCCGGTTCTCCTCCTCCAGCCCGGCCAGCGCCCGCTGGGCCTCGCGTTGCCTGTCCGCCAGCGCGGTGATGCAGGCCCGCAGCTCCGCCAGGGGCTCCGCCTCGGCGCTCCGGGCGCGCCCTGTGCCCACCAGGTCTGGGGGAAGGCAGTCCCACAGCCCCCGGAGGCCGCTGCTCTGGGAGGCCAGGCGCTTGCGCAGCTTCTCCGTGGCTTCCTTCTCCATGGCCAGTTCCTCGGTCAGCAGCCCCACACTCCTCTGCAACTGGTGTAGCTGGACCTGCGCCTCGAGCTTGGGCACAAACTCGCCCCGAAGCCGCTGGCTCAGAGACTGCAGCTCCCCTTGCAAGCGCTGCCGCTCGCAGCCCAGCTCCCTCAGCTCCTCCAGCAAGTTATTGTTGCTCAGTCTCAGTGCTGACACCTCCTTCTCCAGCTGTCCCTTTGGCAAGCCCCCTCCTGGGAACTGTTCTCCAGGGGCCCCTAGGGGCTCTCCTCGGGCCCCAGGGGCCAGCTCCTCCTCTCCATGCTCTTTGATGCACCCCGGGGCTGCCTTTGGGGCTCCCGCCCTGGACTCCTGGCCAGGGACCTCAGGCTTCCCCTGCAGCCCCGCCTTGGCCCGATCCAGCCTCACCAGCACCCGCTCCAACCGGGCCTCCATCTTCTCCCAGGCAGCTGCGGCAGCCTCAGCCCGGGGAGTCCCTAGGGCTCCCTCCAGGACTGGTCTTGACAAAGCCCCTCGAGCAGCATCCTTATCTCGCCACACTGCAGCCAGTTCCTCCCTTAGCTGTAGCAGGAGGTGGTTCATAGCTGCTGTGTCCACTGGTTCAGCCACTGCATCTGTTGCTTCAACCCCTGAGGCCTGAGGCCTTGCTTTCTGGTCAGCAGGCTGCTGGCCAGTGTGATCGGGGACAAGGGTGTGGGGGCCCCCTGTCAGTTGCTGTTCTGTGGACTTCCTAGTAGCCTCAGACCTTGGGCTCTGGGGTGGTCCCTGCTCTTCTGGTGGGGACTTTCCATGGACTTCATGCTGTATCTCTCCTGCGGCTGAGTTCTCCTCAACCCTCTTAGCTTCTTGGTTGACTATGGCTGCAGCCTGCTGCTGCTTCTTTAGCTCTTGTATATGCTCAGCCAGCAGGTCCAGGGGACAACCCTGCTCCATGCCATCTCCTCCAGGCCGGAGTCTAGAGCCGTGCCCTCTTGGAGCTCTGGGCTCTTGGGATAGAAGGAGCCCTAGCTCCTGCACCTGCTCTCGAATCTGGCTCTCCAGGCCCAAGAAGGCTGCAGCCTGTGCCTTACACTCTTCTGTCTTTCGAACTAGATCCTGTTCCAACTGAGAGACTTTCTTCTGCTCTTCTTCATACTTCCACTTCCACTCTTTTGAACATGGGTCTTCATCCTCCTCTTCCTTCTGCTCCTCCTCAGGCTCTGCTCTCCAAGGGCTCTTAAGTGGAGAACCCACATGAGGCTCAGATGAAGACGCCTATGGCGACATAAACAGAACAGTAGAGTGAGGCCATACAACCAACCTAGCTTCAGAGGCCCTTTCTTCTCAGAGAATATTTTGATGCCCCAAGCACCAGCAGGAGATGGTTCCAGTGAAATAGCCTGAGTGAGTCAGAAGCAAAAGAGGGAAACACAGATTCTTACCTGGGATGCAAGATCCGGGTGTTGAACCAGCCTCTGACCTAGAAGAAAAGACATAGGCAATGAGAGAGAAGGCAGGACCCATGGACTTCTAGCTTACACAGCATCTCCAGACTTTCTCTCAGAGCAGTGGCTCCACAGGGTGATAAGTTCGCTGCATGTCTTCCTGGTGCCAGGAGCCATGCTTGTCCGGTAAATCCCTGGCTGTACAGCAACGCCAGTGTCCTAGCCCAGGGATGCAGCCATTCTCACCTTGTTCAGTGTGCATTTATTGGTCACTGTTTCAAGCACTGGGACTTCCATGGTGAACAAAACCGAAATGGCAGGTCACACAAGGGGCTTATGGTCTAGTAAGGAAGAGAGACTGACCAAGAGATCACGCAGATGATACAATTACGACTCCTAAATGCTGGCAATAACACTGGCCAGAGTCACCCTCAGGGAGAGACAAGGCTGCATTAAGGAATTCTGTGACCATGTTTTTGGGAATCTGAGGTCATCTCATAGTAGCAGGAACAAATAAACTCAACTAAGGTGACAATCGCTTGTCCCATGGATTACTTCATGGGAACAAATGGGATACTAGTTTTGGTTCTTGTTTGTATGTTGTGGCATTACTAGAGATTTAACTCAGGGCTTCACACATGCCAGATAAGCACTTCCTCAGCCCATTTTATATGATTTTATTTTTTGGTTCTGGGGACTGAACCCAGGGCCTTCACACTAAGCTACAGCTCCAGCTCTTTTTTTTTCTTCTAGTTTTAAATTTTGAGATTAGATTTAACTAAGTCACTAAGTTGCCTAGGCTGAGCTAAAACTTTTGATCCTCCTGCCTCAGTCTCCCAGAGTACTGAGATTATAGGCATGCATCACCATGCCTCGTTCTTTTTTATTTTGAGACAGGGTCTCACTAAATTACCCAGACTGGACTCAAACCTGTAAGCCTTCTGCTTCCATGTCCAGAGTAGGTGTGAAGGAAGCTTTTTAAATTATTTGGCTATTGAGGAGAATCATGAAATTACAAAAGAGCTCTTACCTCCTCTCCGCCTCCTGTTCAGGGCCTGCTGCAGCAGTCTCCACAGGGTCTTGTCTTGTGTACACAGAGCATAATGCAGAGCATCGTGCCCCCTGCTGTCCACTGCCCCCGCATCTGCTCCATGGCTCAGGAGCAGTTCAGCCACCTCCGCACTGCCTTTCTCACAGGCTAGAATCAGAGCTGATCTGTGGATGGAGACAAATCTGACCATAGGCTTTCCTCATGGAATCCAGGAATTCTGGTTCTAGAAATTCCACTCAGGAGCTAAGCTCTACTCAGCAGAGTGAGAACAACAGAACAACATTGGCCAATGACAGCACTGGACCACACCAGAAGCTTTCAAATCTCATTCCTTGGAGCTGTGGCATCAGAAATCAGAGGAACAATCGGAAGGGCTCCATCTTTTATCTATATAGTATCAAAGTTCTACATACAGTTTTATTGGGAAGAAGGCTCTCATTGTTCAGGGGATAGCTTGAAAACCAATGGTTCCAGAGGTGTCCATTCCATTTCCAGGGTCATCTATGCTAGGAAGATGGCCCCGGGAGAAGGCAGAGTCCTTCTGACACATCACTGGGAGGAAGGAGGTTTCCAAGAACAGAGACCAGCCTGCCCTCTTCTTCAACACACACACACACACACACACACACACACACACACGCTGTGTACTGGCTCATTTGTACACTGGTCAGGGTCTGGAAATTGGGGTGTGGAGACGGGGAGGGCTCACTTGTCATCCTTGTCTGTGACGTTAACTCGGGCACCTCTCTGCAGCAGCTGTGAGCAGATGGCTGCGTGACCACCCAGTGACGCAATCATCAGGGGTGTACGTCCATCCTGCAGATTGTGGGAAGGGGCTCTAGGAGGATCCAGGGAGAACCAGGAACTGCACGCAACCCGCCCAGCTCTCCTCTCCCCACACCCCTCCGGAAAAAAAAGCCTATTTCTTAGCGCTAAATAATTTCTTTTGGAAGATTAGAAGCGCTCCAAAAGATAAGGTTTAACTTCTCTGTGAGGAAGGGGAAGAAGAGTGGAAGGAGAAAGAATTGGATAACCTCAGGTCAAGGAGTTTAGCCAATCAAACTCTCTTGAGCAGTTATCCTCCCCCTCTAGGGCAGTGCCATCTGATACGCACATTGTCCAGCACATCCAGGAAGGCTTCGTGGTCACACAGCAGGAGCACACTTGAGGCACAGCCGGAAGAGGCTGGGAAGGGTTGAGAAGTTGAGGGGAAGTTCACGTGAAAGACTCCTGCTCAGACGATGACCCACCCCCTGCTCTGACCCTTTCAGCAGGTGGCTCTGGCTGCCCTTCCCACCATTCCCCTTTCCCACCCTACAGTCCCTGCAGCCCTGCTGTCACGAGCCCGGGCACACACCTGCCCAGTGCAGTGGACTGCGGTTTTCTGCATCCACAGCATCTTCATTAGCACCATGCTGCAAATAGTCACAAAGGGAAGCAGCATGAAGCTTGGCGTTAACATCCTATCCCACACTCCTAGCTGGGCCACCAACTTCCACGGTAATATGGGGAAGAATAGGAGAACTGTGGCTCCAGGGGAGGCCAACTACCAGGCAAGCCCCGTCCATCCCTTATAGGTGATAGACAACCTTGAAGTTCAGCCCTCGTGCCTAAGAAAAATTGGATGACGGGAAATAAACACGTTAAGGAAAATGATACTGGAATCCGTGGCTGGTACTTTACAATAATAATTGTGAGATTTGGAAAGAGTCAGGAAGAACAAAAACAAAGCAGCCATGTGCTCAATTATACTTTAGAGATTTATTTAAAATTTGTCCACAGCATTTGACATGTATATTTCTCTTCATGATACTTGAGTATAAACTCCTCACAAATAGACAGTAGGGCTTTGGTTTAATTTAAACACCTCCACCCTTCTACTTGCCCATCATTGCAACAGTCCCTGCCTATAGCAGGGCCCGACAGTGCCTGAGATTTTGCTTTGTGACTACCTTCAAGGGCAGTAGTGAACATGGTGTCTGTAAAATAAATGTGAATGAGTGAATACATGATAGTCAGCTCTCTTATTGGGGACACAAAGGGTACATTTGGCTAACTACTGCTTGTAACTATAATACGAAGTTGGGAGAGTCTGGGCCTACTTCTGCCCTTCAAAGGGTAGGATCAAGGGGCTGCTGTTACCTGCAGCAAGATCTTGACACACTGTGGCTGACAGGAGATGGTGGCCAAATGCAGGGCAGTGCTTCCTGGAAAGAGAAAGAGGGCAAGAGGAAGGGTGGGTGGCCCCATGCATGCAGATGACTCACAGGGAGGGAGGCAAGAGAAGCACAGATAATCAGAGGGAGATTAGAGAGAGAAGCTTTCAGCCACACAGGGCCAGAAATTCCTGTTCCCCAACACCTGGCACCTGTGGTGGCGGTGAGAATGGGGTGAGGTGTGCCCCCATCCGCAGGGCAGGGAGGAAAGCCCCTAGAGGGATGCCGGGCCAGGACTTACTGAGCAGAAAAGCAAGTGTTCATACTTGTGACCTGGGCCCCGCTGCTGCGGTAAGGGGACAACAAGCTGCATAGGCCAAGGGCTCGGTGTAACTCACCGTCCTCATTTTTGCTGTTGATGTCAGCCCCATTTGCGAGCAGTACACTCAGACACTCTGTCAGGCCTTTGGAGGCTGCCAGGTGAAACCTGCCAGGATTACAGTTGAGAGGCAGAAAGATAAACGGACGAGGAGATGAATGGAGGGAGAATCTTTTTTTTTTTTTGATACCAGGGATCGAACTTGGGTCCCTGCGCTTGTGCAGCAGGCAGCAAAACCACTGAGCTAAATCCCCGGCCCTGGAGGGAGAATCTTAATAAGCGCTGTTTGCTTATTAGGTCCAAACCCAGTCCCTAAGGCAGAGAGGAAAATCCCCCAGCCTGACTTCCGGAGAAAGAAAAGGCCATGTGGCCTATAGTCACAGTCAGAGAACGCTAGAAATAAGAGCTACAGGTTTCAAGGGATTTCAGACTATTTCGAGGGTATCAGGGGATGCTAATTACCTATCTGTGAGCCCAGAAGTCTTGGTGGGACTTCAAGTGTCACAGAAAGAGCCCAAAAGGAGCAGATGGCTAGGCATTTGAAAGCTGATTTGGGCAGTGACAAGGGACAGTATTTTTTTTGTTGTTTTAATCACTCCCTCTAGCCCTGCAACTCCCATGGCTACCACTTCATTCTTAATTTCCCAAGCACACACACCCTCCCGCTTGTGCAATGAAGAAACTAGCGTATTCATCGGCTGTTTGTTTAATGAGCCGTACATTCTTCTCAAGTCAGCGTTATGATCAAAATACATTAATATGCATGCATGTAAATACCACATGGAAACCTAATACTTTGTAAAATTAACAGGCACTGGGCTGGGGATTTAGCTCAGTGGTTTCACTGCCCACTGCGCAAGCACAAGGACCTGAGTTCAATCCCCGGTACCAAAAAAACAAAAAAAAAATTAACAGGCACTAAGTAAAATACATGTAAAAAATCAGCGTGAGTTGAGAGGTGAAGAGAGCTCAGGAATATCTCCTTCCCTCACTTCGTGCTGTACTTGATATGTGGTAAAAGTTTATCAATATGCTTGCTACTTAAGACACCAGGGCTGGGGATTTAGCTCAGTGGTTCCAGCGCCTGCCTCGAAAGCGCAAGGACCTGAGTTCGATCCTCGGTACCAAAAAAAGAAAGAAAGACACCAAAAAGGAGCTAGGTGCTGTACACACCTGTAATCCCAGCACTTTGGGAGGCTGAAGCAGGAAGATCAGGAGTTTGAGCTCACCCTTTGCAAGTTAGTGACTTAGAGAGACCCTATCTCAAAAAAAAAAAAAAAAAAAAGAAAAGACAACACAAAGGACTCTGAAGTTACAGGCATTTCCTGGTCCTACATCATAATGGGGTTCAGAGCTTTCAAAAGGAACACATACCAGGGGTGGGCCAGGAAGACTTACGGGGACTGGCCGTTTGAGTCTAGCTTGCTGGGTCGGGCAGACTTCCTAGAGGCTAGGGCAGCCACGCGTCCCACATCCCCCCGCTGCACTGCCTCCAGCAGCTTCTGATCACGGCGGTTCCATCTCTCCACCTGGTCCGGAGCCACAAATTGTATGAACATGGAGGATGAGGGTGGAGAAAGAAGAGGAGGAGATAATTAGATCTCAAGCAAGGGGGAGAAAGGAGATGTGCTTGTTTCACAAGGCACTGAGCCTGGATCATTTGGTTCCTAGGGAGGCCAGCTAATATTATCCAATTCATATGGCACCATCAGCCAGGCATGGTGGTACACACTGTGTACCACCCAGCACTTTGGAAGGCTGAGGCAAGAGGATTGCTGAATTTGAGGCTAGTCCAGTCTACATAGTGAGACCCTGTCTCAAAAATACCATAGGTCATCATGAACTATTGCTGGTTACTCCCAGCTCTGGGCCTAAAGGTGCCTGGTCACTGAATTAGAATTTATGAGTGTTGAATGTATAATATTTCAAGTATATTTTTTATCATCGTTATGATTATTTTTGTTGTTAAGTGCCCAAACTTGGAAAAATCATAGCAACAACTCCTTTCCTTTGGTTCTCTAGGTCTTGCTCAAGCAAACTGAACCAACCTGAGCACTGCTAATCGGGTTCACATTAACTACCACCTCCCCTTGCTGCTCTACCTGCTTTTGTCCTTAGTTAACTGTTGGAGAAGTAAATGAAGGCACCTATTTTCGGGTCACAGGTAGGAGTCCAAATACCTAACCCTATCATCTCTATCTATTGGCTTTGGGCTCTAAAATTGGAAGGGCAATCCCAGGGTTTCTTTGTTCCTGTATTGTATCTTTCTATGCCCTTTAGCTAGTCTCTTTCCCCTTCCATGGAAACAACCACCAAAAAGCAAAGATAGGTTCCTAGCTATGTTTGAAGAGGCAGTAAGAGGAAAAGGCAGAAGAAGATGTGCCCCTCCTCCTCCCTCTCCTCCCTTCTAGTTTCCCTGGCAGGGAGCAGCTGTTCCAGACAACAGCCACACCTGGGCATACATTATTCTATCATTTTAGCTTGAGTTTTTCGCGTGGAGGAGTAATTACAATAATTGAAGTATTACAGGGCATGAAAGAGAGAGCCATGTAAAAACAGCCAGGAGTGAAAGTACAGAAAACCTGGTGGTTAGAGAGGGGAAAAGAAGAATGGATGAAAGCAAAGATCTTTGGGATGGCGTATTTTGTCAGTTGGACTGAGTTTGGGACCAATCTGGCTTAGCTGTGTGACCTAGCGCAAGCCATTAAACACCTCTAACCTGTTTTCTCATCGCTAAAGTGAGTAGTAATAACTCTCTCATTATGTTATGAGTATTGAATAAATAAATATCTATAAAATCTCTTTCTAAACTGTAAAGTCACAGAAATGCATGGCATCCTTATAACAATACAGGAAATAGTAAGAAATTGGTGGTGGGACCTTATGTTTTATGAGATATAATGTCAATAAGAAAGAGGTTATAAGAGGAGGTGAAGAAAAATGGGGTTTGTGGAAGCCCAGTAATTCATGTTCAAATACTGTTTATACAACCAGGGCAAATTATTAATTAATTAACTGGAAAGATTTAAATACCCAAAACATAAAATTATCTAGGGCAGATGCATGTTGAGGTTATTACTCCTGTACAGCACTTGTAACTCCTCATGGTCTTTCAAGTACTATTTCTATTAGACTCTCCATATCCCTGGAAAATAGTTAGGGCTGATATTATTTTATCTCTTTGATGGAAGAAGAAATGGAAGCACACTGAAGTTACATAACTGTCCAGATCACAGAACAGTGGTAATATTGGGATTAGAACTCACACCACCTGGGTCCTTTTTTTTCCCCAGTACCGGGGATCAAACTCAGGACCTTGTGCTTGCAAGGCAGGCTCGGTGCCACTGAGCTAAATCCCCGGCCTGATGCCCAGTCCTAATTCTCACACCACACCACACTACTACAGAGCTATGAAAAAACAATTACTTATTTCCAGATAAACAGTCTCAGGCTGCCTCTAGGCCAAAGCCACCCACCCTCATATGCTACTCCCTGCAAGGAGAAGAGTCTCCAAACAGGCTAATTCTCAAAGCACAAAATAAGCAAAATGACACCTCCACATACTGATAGACTCTGACAAGTATGAACACATTTCCCAGTGTCCCTTGGGAACCAGGTCTCCCACTGGAAAAGAAAGAGCTGGAACTCGCCTCCGCCACATAGCACCGCTATCAGCTGACCTCAGCCTAAAGTTCTCTATTTAAAACCTTGATTCTAGCTGGGTATGGTGGTGTGAGCCTGTAATCCCAGCATTCTGGAGGCTGATGCAGGAAGATTGCAAATCGCAGCCCATTCTGGGTGATTTAGTGATACTCTGACTCAAAATGAAAAGAAAAAAGATCTGGGGATATAGCTCAATGGGAGGCCCTGGGTTCAAGCTTTAAAAACTCCAAAAATTGTGCAACAACAACAAAATCTTTCTTCTAACACTTTCTGCCTTTGTGAATGTTAAGCATATAAAAAAATTTTGAACCTCAGTTTCCTAATGATACAACAATATATAAAACATCTAGATCAGTAATGTAGTAGCTACATAGTAAATCTTAGTTCCAATCTCCATCCTTCTAGGCTTCGTTGGGCAAACTTTGGATGTTCCTGGGCTCGAACTTCTCCAGCTAGGAGTGGGGGCAAGAGATCCCACTCCTATCAGTGAATGAGTAACAGCCTGGCTGATTAGATAGTAAAGTTGCTTCTTAGCAATGTGGATACATTTCCATACTGCTAGATAGTTCTAAATCACCCAATTTATTCCCTATAATCTCATTATCCAAAGAAGAGTTTAGAATGAGTGGAATTTCTTCATGACAATACCTCAGCAGAGCTGAAGTAAAAAAGAACAAGAGGGGGCTGGGGATTTAGCTCAGTGGCACTGCACCTGCCTTGCAAGTGCAAGGTCCTGAATTCAATCCCCAGTACACCAAACAAAACAAAAACAAAAAAAAGAACAACAGGGATGCTTCCAAATTTCAAGATCCACAAAGGAACACACCTGTAAAATTACAGCTACTCTGGAAGCTGAAGCAAGAGTACCAAAAGTTAGAGGCCAGCCTGGGGAATTTAGTGAGATCTTTTTCAACTCAAAGTAAAAATAAAAATAAAAAGGGCTTGGGATGTAACTCAGTGGTACAGCATCTGCCTACCCATCTAGCCCTGGGTCCAATTTCTAATTCTTTAAAAAAAAAATCTAGCCTATTGCTCACTTTAGCACTTTGGAAAGCAAATATTTAATTACCATCACCACTATATGGGAGTAATCACCAAATTAATCAGAAGCCTCAATAACAAGGATACAGTTTTGTTATTTCTAGGGCTGAGATTAGGGGGCTTTTGTAGAAGTACCCTCTCCTATCTCTGCTGCATACCTACAAGCCTCCTGTCAGGATGGAGGCGCACACCAACAGGTAGTGAGAGAGCAAGTGCTGCAGAACAGCTGAATGCGAATAAAAAACCTGCCCTGGAGGAATCAGGACCTGACTCTGAACATTTCAGACGTAATCCCTCCACAACTCTCTCTGTACTGATCCAGTGCTAAGAGTTTAAAGCTATTTTTCTGGTCTGCCTCCACTTCTGAACTAGGTCAAATAAGCTCATAGGAAAAACAGTCTGAAAAGTATCCATCCTCTACTTGACTGAAAATGAGATTATAGGAGCTGGGTTTTGTAAGCTTGTTGATGCCTGTATAATGGATAATACAGACTGATTTTGAAATGCTCACTGATCTTTCAGTCATTACCTTATTCTAAAGGCACTGGTGTCTGGCCCAGCCTCAAGGTTTCAAACAGGGATAGGGAGAGGCAATCTCCTAGCATGACTGGGGAGCCATGGGGTGGAAGGCTGTCACACCATTTCTCTGACAAACAGACCCAGTGTAGGGGGGAAATTATCAGGGGAAGAGTGGGTAAGTTTCATGAGGCAACAACTTGCAGCTGAAGCTGACTTATTTTTAAGCTTTCTGCAACCCGTCTGACAGAGAAAAAAGTTTTCTTTCCACTAGATAATTCTAAATCTACCCAATTTTCCTTCTTTTAATCCCATTGTGCTAAGATCTTGTTATACCCAGAAGAGTTTAGAATGGATGGACATGCCTGATGACCAAACCCTTGGAGAGATAGAGTCAAGAAGGACAGAGGGAGGGATGGTGACAAATCCTAAGATCCAGCCCATTGCTCATTCAATCACCTTCAAAAGGAGGCACTGCCCAAGGCTGAGAGGATCAGGAAGAATGGAGTAGTTCCCCATTCCTAAGGAGGAGGCAGACTCCACAAACCTGAAAGGTAGGGCAATCCTGAGGATTTTCAGTGTCTAGGGAAAAGTTCACGGGTATAAGAAAATCATTCTGAGTTAAGACAGTGTCTGGGTAGCCTCCTTTTCTGTGTCTGTCGTAGTAAATGCCTTTTGAGTGGTTGATCAATGTGTGGAGAAACTAAGCAGAGAGGCAAATGTAAATGGGACAAGGACAAGCCTCAACAGAGTTCCTACTCTTGCCTCACAGCTTTCTTGCAGATTTCTGTGGCCTGCCCATGCAGAGTGAACTGACTGAACATTCTCATATTCAATTATGAATGACTCCACTACGTTGAGTTAGCTCAGCAACATTACTACAGACAGCTGGCTAATTCATTTCTAAATGACCCATAATCCCAATCTCCATAGAAAATTCCATGCCCAAATAAGAGGTCTTTCTGTAAGGAATTTTTAGAGAAGGAGAAATTACATACTGTCCCTACGCCATCACCTTCTGTAATTTTCTTTGTGTTTTCTTCTGGGAAAACATAAAGAATACAGTGACTTGTGCAGGGAACTGTCATGATAAGTCCACTCTATCCTCTTCTCATCTCACCATCCCTTTTCCAAAACTCAGTCATAGGAAACAGAGAATACATGTCCTAAACAACTGGGTGAGGGTCAGGGTGAAGGAAAACACTGGAGAGAAACAGGCACAAAGTCTTGGCCGGCCCAAGAACCAGTCTGATGACCAGACGCTGCAGTGAACTGGCAGGGTGGATTCTGCAGGCAACTCACCTAGTCCCTTGGCAGGCAACCACGCATCCTCTGGCAGTGCTTGTCAGGCTGGCTAGAGTGCAAGATTAACCCACAGTAAGCAGGCACGAGGAGGTCCAGCAAAAGAAAGCAAAGTGGGATTGGGTGGTCAGAGTGGGGCAGAGGTTGGAGAGAACACAGGGATGCTGCTGAGGGAGCTCGGAGTGGAAAGACGCTCAGGCTGATGCCTGGGGTTCAGTGGTGCTGGTGAGAATGGCAGTGGAAGTGGCACAGGCTGGGATGAGGCAAGGACAGAGGAGACTATGAAGAAAGGTTAGGGGGAGGCGAGGGCAGAGAGTACTCGTTGGGATGACAGCAAACAGTGACCATGGAGCCGCAGGGAAGGGCTATGTTGTGGGTACAGGGCCAGGGTAGAAAATGGAGCTGTGTGGCAGCAACTGTGGGGGTGCGGGTAGAGTGGAATCAAGGGCTGGGCAGGGGCCATGTCCAGGACAGATGCTTGTTTGTAGGCGTTCCAGTTTGGGGAGACACAGCATTAGAGAAAAGGGCCTTGGGAAGGAGACAGGGCTGCAGAAAGCACACCAGGAGTTGGGAGTGCAAGGACGAGAGAAAGGATCTCGGAGAGGGCAGAAGTTAGGAAGGCAAATCAAGCTGGCGGACAGGTTATGGATGACACACCTAAGTTAAGTTAGCAGGGCTGGCAGACTGCATTGCGGGAGCGGAAGCTTTGGAAAGACCAACGAAGAGATGAGGCGCGGGTGCCTGGACTGGGACTCAGGGCTCTGTCACCACAGGGCTTGGACCCCAGCCCCATTCTCCCACACCTTCGGCACCTACCGCCACTTGTGAACTGGAGCAGGAGAAGAAGCGCTTCATGGCCGGGGCCGGGGCCGGGGCCACGGGGGGACGGGGACGCGCGGAGAGCCAGGCCACAAGTCCCCAAACCCACCGAACTCGGCTGCTGTTGTGCGAGAAACAGCTGTCAAAACCCAGAGGGGCCCCGCCCCGCCCCCGCCCCGGCCCGCCCCGGCCCGCCCCGCTCAATCAGAGGCGAGAACCCGAAGGCGGGGCTGAGGCCCCGCCCCTCTCCCGGCCCATTCCGCCCAGCAGGGGCGAGGAACCTTCAGTCTTCGGTGGCGAGGCGGGCTTGGCCTCAAGTTTTGTTCTTCCAATCTAAACCTGCCCACCAGCTCCTCACCTACCCGCTCCGACCTCCTCCAACGGAGAAGAACCCCGGGGTCAACGGCAGTAAGGCCTCGCTGGCCCCGCCCCAAACCCCGCCCCTCGGCTCGCGGCGGAGGCGGGGGAGTCGAGACAGTTCTCCGTAGGCTTGGGTCTTCGCTCTGTCTGGTTTAACCATCGAAGACGACACTTTATTATATATCCTGACATCTTTGGCCAGTTACCTCTGCCTTTTCTCTCCTCCAGCCTCTCGCCAAAAACCCAAGCACAAAAGAGGATTTAAAAAGAGCAGTTTGGAAACGCGAAGAGAGTGTAGCGCTGAGCAGAGGACTGAGCACGAAGACGTGTGGCCCGCTGCAACCTGAGGGAAAGGGGATCTGGGTCAATTTCTTTTTTGTTTTGTTTTGTTTTGTTTTTGGTACCAGGGATCGAACTCGGGAACTTGCGCTTGCGAGGCAGGCGCTGGAACCACTGAGCTAAATCCCTGGCCCTGGGTCAATTTCTTAACGAAACTAGGAGTTAGAAAAGGGAAATGAGAGAATTTTTACTTGAAGCATCCCCTCTTAAGAGAAGAAAAAATATATATATATATATATACATATATATATACACACATATATATATATGTATATATATATAGGCGGGGGTGTTGGCTCACGCCTATAATCAGTCCCAGGAATTTGAGAGGCTGAGACTGGAAGATCATAAATTCCAGGCCAGCCTTGGCAATTTATGGAGACTGTAAAAACCGATTGATGGATCGATCGATGGGAGAGGGCTTGGGATGTAGCTCAGTACACCTTAGGTTAAACCCTCAATGCGGGGAGGGTGTAGAAAAAAATACTATCTTCCCTATTTTCACTGCCCTTTAAATTCCGATTCTCAATAATTCGTTATGGAAGTGTCGCAGCCACTTGATCTTCCCATCTCCCCTTTCCCTTGCAGCCACAGTATCCATTACAATGCATATGAAAACATACTGGATAAAGCCCAGTGTTCTTAATGTGGCTAAAAGGCTCTTCAGGAGCAGGTCCCTGCCTGCTTTCTCAGTCTCAGCTCTAGTTACTTTCACAAAAGAGCCCAAGATCAAACTGCTGTAATTACTACAATTTCCTTTGCAGCTGGTGATCAATCCTCCCTGGAATGCCTCCCCTCACTCTTGGTGGGGCCCAAGTAAAGTTTTTGTTTTGTTTTTCTGTAAAATTTTCCCTTAAAACCCTGCCACCCCCTCCCCCCAAAGGATGCCTTCTGTGTGCAACATACTCCTAGTATTTACTGGTATATTATATAGCAACTATTTCTTTATATTTGCCATTATTTCTTTACATTCTTGTTTCTTCTACTAACTAGGCTGGGCTCTTTGATGCTAGCAGTTATATTTTATATTATTCCCATTGCTTGCAAATATTAGGTGCTTAACATCTGATAAGGAAGGAAGGAAGGAAGCAAAGAAACAACAAGAACAAAGGAACACTCTAGTGTATGGGGAGAACCTGTTGTTTCACAGTTACTTCTCAAACTGGTATTGCTCCAAAGAAAAGGGCAACAAGCTTATCGCAGAATAGCTTGGGGTTGGAAAAAAGCCCTACTCAGGGGCTAAGGACAGACAGGAGACAGATCTCTAGGTGGAGAAAAAATCATATGAATAAAGAAGTAGATGAACCAGTCATTAAGAAAACCCACCTCCCTTTGGAGCCTCCCTGGGAGTGAAGAAGTGAGGGAAGTCTAACTAGATAAGTGTATCCTCAGTTCCAGCCCCAGGCACTGTGTGCTCCACAGGGCCGATCAAGTGACAGTCTACAGGAAGTGCAGGGAGGGGCAGTACAGACCCTTTCCTGTCACAGAACAACTCCACTAGCTTGGAGCAGAACAGTCTCCCTGCCTAACAGCCCAGGCAGGCCATGATCCTCAGGGTTAGGTAAGAGGCGCACACACGGTCTGTAGAAGAGCAGTGCTGAAGTGTGCATATTCCTCAGAGATACCAGAACTCTGGGTATCACAAGAGGACCCAGAAGACATCTGGGTATCTGAAGAAATAGAAGAAAATCCGTAAGTTAATCAGTTAATTATCATCTTAGGGGCTCAAAAGCATATTTTAAAGAACATGGGGGCCTAGAGTAAGGTATAGTGGAAGGACATAATAGCACACAGAGGAAACAAATCTTCAGGGTCTGGGAGATGAATCACCAAGAATACCACTTGGGGCTTCAATATACCTTCTCACTTAATCTTCATAAAACATGGTAAGGTAGGTTATTTTGTAACAAAACTTTTTTTTTCTTTTTTTTGGTACTGGGAATCAAACTCTGGACCTTGTGCTTGCGAGGCAGGATGTGGAACCACTGAGCTAAATCCCCGGCCAACAAAATGTTTTACAGTTACCATTTATTGAGCACTTACTATATGTTCACTATGCTTGGATTATCTCATGTAGTCTTCACAACACTAACAAATTTTAACACAGCTAAGACTTAGAGAAGTGAAATCTGTCCCAGGTCAAAGCAGTTTTAAGTAGTATGGCCTAGATTTAAACCCAAATATGTCTTCATTCCTAACCACAGTGGTTACTATTATCTTTGCCTCTGGGATGTTATGACTTTCTCAGGACCATACAGGTAATAAACAGCAGACTTGAGATTTCAACCTAGGCTAATGTGCTCCTCAAAGTTTACATGCTAGGATTGCCCAAGCAGGTCAGACTTGCAGGAGGTCAGAGCACAGCTCTGGTGGGAAAGTCACAGCAAATATTTGAAATCCTTCATGACTTTGCCTTCCATGACTCCATTAGATAATGTCTCAGACAAACCAAGAATTTACCTCTCACCGTCTCTGAGCAGCCTGTATCGTCAGGAACTCAAACAGAGCCAGAAGTCATTCGGCACTTTATTTGTTCTGACCATCTGATACATTGTCCACGGTGCTCAGAAACACAGACAGTGCCCAGGAGGGTGGCCCCCTTCAGAAGGCCAGAGATATGCCAAAATAAACAGTGTGGCTAGGCCTCAAGAACAGCCTGGGAGGACAGGTTCTGCGGCTGCTACGGAACTGAAATGGGTGCTGATCCTTCGAATGGCTATCAAAGCTGCACTGTGGAGAGCAGTAACTGCCTTTGGTACCAAAGTCTTGACTCCAAATAAACATGTCTTGAGATGTCTATGAGAATCCACTTGTCTTTACTAGCCACAACCATAACATGGGATGAGAATGGGAGAAGTTGGAGATAGAAATTATCTTGGTGGGCCGGGGATTTAGCTCAGTGGTTCCGACGCCTGCCTCGAAAGCACAAGGTCCTGAGTTCTATCCCCGGTACCAAAAAAAAAAAAGGAATTATCTTGGTAAATCCCAAGTAAGGGGTACCAGACTCATTCCAACAGAGGAGAAATCCTACAAAATATGACCAGAGTTGCCCCAGAATATTTTCCTAGGAGCTATTTGTGCTGCACAACCAATGCTGGGCAAGTAAAGGCTTGCTCTCCAAGGACCTCATACTTTTGCTTTTTAATGCAGTCCCATTTGTTTGGATCCCATGGGGCTGCTCTTCCCAAAGCTGGGGAGGTGGGCTGATCTTCCACCCTATAACAGCAATCCTTTCCCTTCTCTCTGCTTTCAATAAAGAGGTCCCACCGAGGGCTGAAGAGTGAGGTCTGAGAGAAGCAGAGAAAGCACTGCCTAGGGCATCCAGTCTTCTCTGCTATTCCAGCTTTAGCCACCTGGGGGCCCCTGGCTCCAGAGAATCAGGCACCAGGACCTGGTTTTGCTCCCAGGGAAGGCTGAGGCTTGGGAAGCTCTTGCCCAGCAAGCCTGGGGGCAGCTGTTTCCCTAGCACCTGAGGGAGGGCCAGTGCACTACCAAGTTTCAGGTTTCAGAGGGGATGGCAGTTGCCTGTCTGAAGGCTTCTCTGTTCCTTGGAATTCTACAGAATGTCTCCTGTGGCTTTTCCTCCTCCCTCCTTTTTTCCTGTTGACTCTCCCCATCCAGCTCTATGAATCACTAGGCTCCACAGGAAAGCAGCAGATGTTGACTTTACTTCTTTCAAGCCAATGTCAGCTCCCTCCTGTGGTGTGGGGAGCGGGCAGGAAGGTGAGAGGGTTGGTACTGAATGGAGAAGGATAACCTTCATCCTTTGCAAATTGTGGGGAAAGACCAAGAGGGAATCTGAAAGGAGTCAGGGACCTAGGCAAAAAATTTCTTTTGATTCCTGGGGATGGGGGAGAAGGGGGCCCCAAACAAAGACCCCAATGTTGGCTGTGGAATCAGGAGGAGGAGGAGGAGGGAAGCACAGGCTGAGAGCGTGCAGGCTCTTCTTCTCTGACTCTGACGTAAAACCTCATCTCTTCCAGCAGCAGCCCCATGACCCAAAGGTCAAGTCAGGCTGTGAGTCTGAGGAGATAGCTCAGAGGCTTCTTCCTGATCCCACCGGGGCCCCCAACCTCGGCTCTGACACAAGGCTCTTGAAGAAGCTGCCAGAGAGGACTTTCTAGAGCCTTATTCTGCATTCATTGCTCCAACTTCTCTTCTCTTTTCTTCCTCTGGGATTTTCTTACGGGTAAAGAAGCCAAGCTATAGAAGAAGAGATAAGAATCACTGCCAAATGCCCAGACTGGGGACCTTGCCAGTAGCTCTGAGACTTATCTGAGGTCTTCACTTTTGTTCTGATTCCAAAATGGGATTCAAATTTATTTTGGCTTAGTTTAATTCAACCAGCACTTGTGAAGTACACTGAGGGAGAGCTGGACATGACACCCTCAGCCTGCTCAGCTACCCAGCATGAGCTATGCT